TGGAGTTTGTATGGCCTCTGCCTCTCACAGAGCCCAGGCTAGCAGCTTTTTCTCTCTCAGAGCACTGTGAACATAAACTTTCCCTGACACTGACTTTGTGACTTAAAGTAGTTTCCAAGTGAACCTGGCTCTAATGAGTATGTCAAGTTTTTTGCACTCATAAAGGAGGTTGGCTTTTCTGGTTGGAAAACTTGCTGTGATGTCAAGTGAAGGTCTGGCACGTTTCCCAGCAGAGTGACGTGAGGATTGCAGGGGGATGCTGAAGGGACAAGGCACGGGCATGCCGGCCTTTCTTGCTTCCTGGGATAGCTGGCAGCCCAAAAGACCAGGTAACTATTTATTGCAGGGTTATCTTCAACAGGAGTGAAACTCTTAATTCAGCTTTAACAGCAGGGAGGGAAGGACCGCACTCTGAGGCTGTGTGAATTGGTCTGTCAAAGCACCATGCTGGAAGCAGAAGCAGCTGTTGGAAATGCAATGAAATCACAATCCAACATGCAGGTGTGCTTAGATGTATGCTCCAACTGTGCCACAATATATTTTTCCATCTGTTTTCTGCTGTTTTGAGAATGTACTCGATTGTTAAATCAAGTAATATAACCTTGGAGACGAGAAATCCTTTGGGTTAAGGCTTTAGAATAAGAGAATTAATCTGGTTTGAAAATCCTGTCCTTCTGAGGGCCTACTTTTGTCATTTACTTAGTTTAGAAGATGAATATGGCAAAATATATTATTTATTAAAGTTGATATAGGCACTAGGCTGTAGCTTCCTTTTCTCACACACTCCTACATTAAAATTAATAGAAAAGAAGCTTCTAACAGTTTAAATAGAATTTGCCTATATGGCACTAGGCGTAGGAGTCTTTCCTTATTTTTGTAAATTATTTAGCGGTGATACAAATATTTTAAACCTCAAAATTGTGGATGGTCTCTTTTTTTTTTTTTCTTGCTTGTTTGCGTTTTAAACACAGTTGTAATTTCAAGTGCTATTGCTATCTCCTTAGAGAAGCCTTAATGTCTTTCCTTGCAGTGTCATGAAGTGTATAATGGCTTTGAGTTTATTTTGCTAATACTGATTGTAGTTGCTAATCGCTACTGCCAGAAAGACTAAAAAAGAGGTGCTATAATTAGTATATAGATGAGGTGAATTTGGGAGTTTCTATGTAGGCACCAGGTTTCTAAATCAGGGTTAAACAAAAAATGAGTAAAGGTGGTAGAACTTGTATTGATAGTTATACAGATTTTGTAACTGATATGTTACATGGAAGTTTGTGCTTCTGCCATATGTTCATGAGAGTTATATTTGCCTTCTTTCCACTGAAGGATATTTAGAACTGTATTACAGTCCATCAGTGACTATTTCTACTACAAGCAAAAAAACTTGTTTGGGAATTTAATTTTCCTTCTTTGAACTAATCCAGCCTTCCAATGGGTGCCAGACCATCCAGTGACTAGAACATCTCTTCACCCACCCAGATAACTCAATTTTCTTCCATGCATCTATAGTGAGAGACACCATGTTCTGCTAGAGAGCACCATAACAGTGTGTGCTGCATAGCAAATGTAGAAGTCTAAGGCTCATTTTGTGAGTGCCCCTAAAACCATATGACCTGTTCCATAGCGTTGTGTCGCAGCTTAAGAGTTGGTCTTGTATTTTATGAATATACATATAAATACCAACATTTGTGGCTTCAGTTCCGAGCAGTTATTTTTAAGGAGTGTCCCAAAATTAATTTATGGCATTTAAAATCGAGTAACAGTCCTTGTTATCAATAGCAAGAGAAGGAGATAAAAACATTATGGCTTTTAGCTCTTACGGCCTTTTCTCTGCCTTGGAGTGCCACAGATTAGGTGTGGGTCACAGGATACTGTAGCTAAATTGTGTTCAAACAGTAGCATGAGTTGATGTGGACAGGAACTTCTAAACAGATCTTGATTCCCAGACCTCAGTTGCCTCCCTAAGACCCTGTAGAGCTTTTCTGCTGATTAGTACATGCCTACAGACCATCCAGGTGATACAGTGATGTGCAGGGTTCTTAGCCCTGCTTTCTAAATTAATATGATAAAATGTAGCACTCCACTGCAAACTGACCTCAGACATGGAGCCTGGTAAGAGCCAGTAGCCACCTACACAAAAGATAGTCTGGAATTCACCTTACTCTCCCTGTTGCAGTTACTTGTCAGAAGGGAAAGGTGGAAGTAGTGTAGCCCAAAGATGCCTTTAGGTGAAGCATTTAGAGGATCCCAAGGAGGTTGCCATAAATTTAATTTGGAAAGGTTCATAAGTTTTCATAAATAAAGATGCAGGACAGATAAATGGGGATGAAATAATCTAGGAAAGAATGGAGAAAGTTTTGGTTCGAGATTGGCAATAGATTCTACATTTCCTATGAATGACAACAGAATCTTTATATCACTTTGCACCATCCCTGTGGGAGTTTAGAAATTCTGTGATTTTAGAGAAACATTAAGCATTATTGGTTTCAGTGAAACATTTTCTAGAACTCCAGAAATATTCTCAGTACAGACCAAACTCAGTGTGAACCAAGTTGCTTTTGCCAAACTTCATGCAGCAGAGAAATTGTATTCTAATGGAGATGTCCATCCCTTCTGCTGCAGCTCGTCACACATCCATATGCAGAAATGAATGCAGATACTGTGTCTTTGACAGGTATGAATGGATGTTGCTTGTGTGCTTATATAGTATTTATTGGGGGAGGGAGGACTATAAAGTAAGAGGAGAGGTGAAGTTCTAAGATATTAACAGGCATTAATGTTAAACTTCCTTTAAAAGCCTTGTGGTTACCAAGACGTGGTATACATTAGTGAATGTCTTAAAAGTCTGTAATGGCTGTCGTTATAGCACAGGTGATACCTCCACGATGTCATTTTAGATGTGAGTGAAGGCACAAGCTATAAGCAATCAGTTGGATGCAAGTGATGACAGATAAGAACTCAGTTTTTGTAAATTCTTTTAATACAGCAACACACACATCATTCACTTGGTATGAAATCAGTTGGTGTCTTCATCATGATGAAGATAGCCTGAATTGCACTTCACTTTCAAGTGTCTAGTCAATAATGAGAGCTAAGTGCCTCTGAAGACTCTGAGGCCTCTGAAGACTTTTGATTCACATGGCGTAAGACATGGAGTTGCCTAAAACTACTCAGTAGAAGACACCTGACACATGGATTTGATGGATTTAGAACATGTGAATGTAAATGCTCAATGATTTCAAGTCCATAAATACTTTCAATTTAATTAACACCTTTTTTACTAACAAGTCTAAATACATAGATAGCTAATGCACATTTTGAAAATACTTTGAACTACTGTTGCAATTGATTCTTTGTTTCACAGGTTGAATAGCACAGTGGAGAAAGTGTTTCAAATTAATCTTAAGAAGACGGTTTTGTTTTGTCATCTTCCCCCTCTGACAGATTATGGAAGCAGCAATAAATTTGTTATACCATGTGTATATGAAAGTTATGAGTAACAGAAACCTTTTGTTTCAGCTTCTTCATGTGGCATTCCCATGAGCAGTACAGGGCAGTAAGCTTTAGCTGAAACTGTTGTTATCACACAGCTAGTTAGAAACTCCTGCTCCACAAGTTCTTTGTCAGGATGAAATGAAGTATCAAGTAGAAGAGTCTATCCTCATTCAGAATTAGTCAATGTCTTTGTTAATGACTTGGGTGAAAGCATAATGTGGGTTTTATGTTTTCAGAGAATCAGAAGGTGGAATGCTCTTTCAAGCACTTTCAAAAATATAACTAGGATTGAGAATGATCTTGACAGATTTGGACCAATGTCCTGAAGTAAATAGTAGAGTTCAGTAACGACAGAGAAAGCATAACGCTTTGCAGAAGTTCTGCAGAAAAAAAAAAAAAGAGGTGGGAATAGTATGCATCATGAGCTTAAACATGAATCAGCAGTATCATACTGCACTGATAGTCTTGGGTAGTGATGCACAAGCAAGAATGGCATAGATTGTTACAGTCAAAGAGATCCTTCCAATCTATTTGCTACTACTACAGCCTTAAGATGAAGATTTATATGCAGTTCTCAGCAGCAAACATTAAGAAAGAGGGGTGTTTCCTTTCAGTAAGACAGAACTGTGTGCCAAGCAACAGAGGTTTAGAAAATGTGACCCAAGATGGATTGAGAGACTTTTTCATTCAGAGAAGAGGAAACCGCAACGCACATATTGTACTGCATCAGAGGTGGGGGAGAAAAGGAGGGTAGCAAACTGCTTTTCATCCTGTATGGATGGATCAATTTCCAGGGTTGTCCTGGTGGCTCCTGAGTTCTGAAATAGTGGAAAATGGAACAATGGCTTGAAGGGTTTAGAAATCCTGCATAGGTAAAAGGAAAGTTTTTCTGAGAGGATAGCTGAGCATGGGAGTGGTTTTCTTGAGGAAGTTCAGGTGTCTTCATCACTGGAGGTTTTCAAGAATAACTTATACAACAGTTCTTGAAATGGTTTAGTTCCTTCCCAGCCTCTTTTTAGACCTGGTTGGATTCAATATGCTTTATGCAATTTAAAGGCTATGTTTAATTTTGGCTGCTAATACTAGCTGCAATTGCTGAACACTTAGAGCTTTTCTTTCTAGTGTATGCATGGTCTTCAGTGATCACATAGTCCCTACATTTATATTGTTCCTTCAGCAGCTTGATTCTGGGATATTGTGGTCTCCTACAGCATCACCAACAGTTTGTACAGCAAGAGTATTGCATAGAAGTGTTGCAATCTGATAATGTTGTGGAAATTATTTAGGGGGACTGGTGCAATACAATGCTTTTATGTATATTATAGGTGGAGTTTTAGTAGGTATCTTTTATGTTGACTCGCATGCATTCTAGATTGATTGACATCACTACTGAGGCAAGTATATAGCTGTTCTTGGAATGCAAGCAGTTTTCAAAGGACCAAATTTTGACAGAATTGTACACAAATAATTGGTGTCTTGGTTTTCCCCTTCTTTCTCTCCACTTCTAGCTGGCTGTGAGGTGGTTGGAGCACAATTGCCGCTACCAGTACATGGATGAACTTCTTCAGTATGTCCGCTTTGGCCTTATGAATGTGGATACACTGCATACTGTAGCTCTTTGTCATCCTCTTGTCCAAGCTAGTGAAACTGCAACAGCACTTATTAAGGAGGCCTTGGCTTACCACCAGAGCATCTATGCACAGCCAGTTTGGCAAACCAGAAGGACGAAACCTCGTTTCCAGTCAGATACTCTTTACATTATCGGTGGGAAAAAACGTGAAATCTGTAAAGTGAAGGAACTGCGATACTTCAATCCAGTAGATCAAGAGAACGTTCATATCGCAGGGATCGCAAACTGGAGCGAGCTAGCGCCTATGCCTGTAGGGAGAAGCCACCACTGTGTTGCTGTCATGGGAGACTTTCTTTTTGTGGCTGGTGGAGAGGCAGAGCATTCCACAGGGCGCACTTGTGCGGTGAGAACTGCCTGTCGATATGACCCCCGCACTAACTCTTGGGCTGAGATAGCTCCGATGAAGAACTGTCGGGAACACTTTGTGCTGGGAGCAGTGGACGAGTACCTCTATGCAGCAGGGGGCAGAAATGAATTGCGTCAAGTGTTACCTACGGTGGAACGTTATTGCCCCAAGAAGAACAAGTGGACCTTTGTACAGTCCTTTGATCGGTCGCTCTCATGCCATGCAGGATATGTGGTGGATGGTCTTCTTTGGATATCAGGTAGAAAACGTTTCACACGGTTTGAGGTACTAACAAAATACCAAAGTACTGTCTTGAATGAAACTCATAAATCTTCTTTAGTTTATATGTCCCGATAACTTTTGTCTTAGGAGATGGGTATTTCAGAGAGTTTAAGCCTGGATGTGGACAATCAAGCCTGATTACAAGTATAGGAGCATAATGTACCTATGCAATATTTTTTGTCTGCTAAATATTCCTCTGTGTTTCAAAGCTGCATATATGGTATGTGCTACCTCCAGTCGCCATTCATAAATCACAGTGAATTGGAATGTTAATGCACTTTTGAACAGATTTCAGATGACACATTCTGTGTGCTTCCTGAAACTGAATCTAAGATCCTGTTTCTGTAGTATTATCTGGTACCACTGCATTTATTCCTGGTAATGAAATGGGGAGTTAAGTGCTTGTTGGCTTGTGTCGATCCAGGGCTTGAGGGCAGATACATAAATTTCTCCCACTTGCTCTTCAGGATATTGTAGCAGTCCAAGATGACCTTAGCTAGAAATCATGCACAGCTCTGACTGTCCATAACAAGTGCACAGGACTGCCTAGATGTAATCATAGCTTTATGGCACAGATAGTTGAACATATAGGCCTTGCATGTGACCAGTGATGGGACTTGATGACATTGCCATCAGTCTTAGGCCTTGCATGTGACCAGTGATGGGACTTGATGACATTGCCATCAGTCTTTGTAGTGACTTTTCTGGTATTAGTTACTTTGGGATAAGATTGATGCTGTTTGCAGAAGGTTTGACGGAAAAATATCCACCTTTTAGTAAGAAGTATGTAATATTGTTGTAATTGTATGCAGTATTGTTGTATAGTAAGAAGTTGTAATATTTACCAAGGAAGTTAATAAGTAAATGAGGCCAGCCCTTGAGGAAATTGTTCAGCAATTGCCATCCTCACTGTAGATAACCCCTGGGGATTTTAATGTGGTCTGGGATGCCTCTGGTGAAAAGATGGTATATGAATGAAAGATTAAGTTAGCTACTTAGGCCTTCACTGTGCTTGTCAAAGTGTGCCATTTCGGTTAGCAGGGCAACTTGCAGATGTACCTTTCTGCTTATACGGATTAAGTGCCTTGTGAGAATGGATTCCCAAACACTGGGGGGACAGGTAGCAGGTATCTGTGTTTATAAATATACACTAAAATCATGAACGATGATTTTGGAATTAAATCGTGACAGAACGCAGAAAATCACCAAGGTCCCTGGCAGGTGCTTTGGGTCACTTGCTTTAGCAATTGGCATTGAAGGAGTCTTGTAGAGTTTGTGGTGTGAGTTAATGCTGAAGTGTGGATTCCACGCAGTGAGTTTTGAGACTCAGGTTTGGTACAGAAAGAGGGTTTCTGCTTTAGGATATCAGTTGGGTGGGTTCCGAGCATTACCCTGTTTGTTCGCTACTTTTCTTGTTTTATCAGTGAAGAGGGATGTGTGTCTGTGATGGGCAATTCAAATACATGGGTGCTACTACTACTGTGTCTTGATTTATGGGGTTTTTTTTGTTTTTTTTTTTTTTTTTATTTCTTGTGGTTTGTATTTGTCAGTCTCTATGAAAAACAGGGCTTTTTAGGAAATTGTGTTAAGCGTATTCATATAAAATCATTGAGCAAGCACTGGAAACATCCATCAGAGTGTGGTAAAAGTAATATTTTTTTTTCTTTTTTTTTTTCCCTGTAAAAAATACCCCCCTTCAAAAAAAACCAAACAAAAACAAACCCAAACAAACAAACAAAAAACCAACCCAAAACCCAACCCAACTCAACAAACAACCAAACCGACACAATACAAGAAAGTATTTGATAGGGAATTTTAAGTTAAATGTGGGACTGGTTGAAAATTACTTTTAATTTTTCCAGATCTGCTAGGAAAGAGAAAATTATGCTGAGGATTAACTAATATGCTTAGTTACATAAGTGAAATGCATGCCTGACTGGACTGTGTTTAAATGCTATCTTCACTTATATAGTGAGGCAGTGTGATACCATGTTCAAGGATATGCCTCTAATACAGCTGTAGAATCAGGGGAAGAGGTAAGTGGAAGCCTATTAGATGAACTCTTTAAAAAAACCCTATGCAAACCAGCAAAAAATATTTTATTAGTATTGTTCCATTTATATTTGAAAATGCTACCAACATAACCTCTGTTGTAAAGTCATGGTAAGGAGCGATGTTTTGGCAGTGGAATAAGGTAGGTAGGACTTTTCAGTTGTATTTCATATATTTTGGGGGAAAACGCTTAGCAGCTTTGAGTTGTTAGATTCTGACAAGTTGTTATGAAGTACGAGAGCATACAATGCAACACTTCAGTAGGGTATTGATCTGAATTATGTACTCACAAATTGAAAACTGGTTTCTGTGTTTTGAATAGAGTTATTGTAAAAATAAAAGTAGATGGAGATGCAATAACCATAGCTAGCTTTCTATTATTAATTAATTGTTCAGGACCGGAGTGTATCTCACTGTATGTGTATATTCAGAGGCAGAGGAACAGTACAGAGAGGTGTTTTATTGTTCCAAATATATCAGTAGTCACTGCTGAAATAATCCATTGTTAGTCATCAGATATAAGGTGTTAGCATAAGAGTAGTCAGTAATGCAGAAGGGAACCTAATTTTGAAGTATGTGACCTAAAATTAAGTAATTAAAAAATTAGTCTGAGTTAGGGATGTTTCTGAGCTGTATCCCTGCTGATATTTCTGGGAAACACGGGTCATCAGCAAGAGCTCTCAAAGTCACTCTGCCACTACCAGCTGGCAAGGTAACCATGAATATGTGCCCAGTTTTTTAGCAAGTGAATAAATGAAATTGTGATAAATTTCTAGCCCTTCTGTTTGAGGAGAGAGTCGTCAAAACATGACCTGCACACAGACCATTTACTTGCACTATAGCCAAAGCCTCAGTGCCTCTGCTACATCCCCTTGTCTTCTAAAGGCTTTGCTAATCAAAAGCTGACTAGACTTAAGGGATTTCTATTATTATTATTGGGATTCATTTTCAGCTTTACTTTGCTGCTCCATTGGGACAACTATGAGAAGGAATCAAAAATAATAGAGCATAAAATGATGGCAAAGGCAGCAGGGAAGGGAAATGTGCTCATCAAAACACTGAACAAGCATAACCACGCGCTGGCAGTAGGAGGATGGGTGGCCAGTGTTGCAGGTGACAGGAGGACTCCTAAGCTGCCGCCATCTCTTTGGGTGTTTTAACTTGCCAGAAGGCTCAGAGGGAGCCTTCTGCTCTCTGGAACTAGTCAGACCCATTGGACAGCACAAGTGGGTTCAGCTCTCAAGGTTTTCTGAGCTCCATATATTGCGGAACATATTTTTATATTTGTGTCATCATTTTTTCTCGTCTTTTTTTTTTTTTTTTTTTTTATTTTTATTTTTTCACAGCCTGCATTTTATTTTATTATTTTAAAAAGTAGATGAGAATTCATTAAAGTAAGTTTTCTGTACTGACAGTACAGTGGGCAGATGGTTTTGAAATTTTATAGAAAGATGAATCTTAGAGGCTCCAGTTAACATCTGACACCGTGACCCATTTCACAAACGAATTGCATACCACATGCTTGAGGAGTGAAGTATTTGAGTGAAAGAGAAACAAAATGCACCAAATCCTTTGGAGTTCAACATTACTAACAATCATTCCCTATAAAAGCAGGGAAATATTTTCCATAAGAGCGAGAACTTGAACTATGCCCATTTCCCTGCATCCTCCGTGGCACTCATGCAGATCTGCTTTTCTATACACGTTAACCTTCCTTCTCCTGTATAGGTGTAGTGCCGCTGTGGACAGAGAGGGGCAGGGAACCTCTGCCAGGCAGTTCAGCTTTGGGCCATTCCTGCACCTGCAGCCTGGGATAATGAAGTTTCCCCTCTACCTTAAGTACTCAGGAGATGAGCACATGAGAAGTCTTCTGTAAAGCAAAGTATTATGCTGTTGTTTTGCAGAGGTCTGAGTTGCCTGATCTTAAGTCTATCAGCTAAAACCACATCTTGACATGCACAAGGAAACTCAACTTGGGGAGGGGGGTAGGTGGTGATAAACAAGTTGCTTCATATTTAAGAGCTTTTTCTTCAAAATTCAAGATTTAAAAATTATTATTATTTTTTCCCTAATGGTGGAGATTTTGACCAAGGAAATGATGGAGATAAGATATCTTGGAAAATTATTCTGAGTTTGCAAGTGGTTTGGTGTGAAAAGTATTACCTTACTGTAAGTATGCTGTTTGTTGTGAGGAGAAGAAAATTTTTTTCTCAGTAAATGCCTGTAAAATTCTTGTACGAAAAATAGATCTGGAATAAATGGGAATTTACAGTATCTAACCAAATCAATTTTTGTGATACGGCTGGTACAGAAATTACCAGGAGTGCGAGATTAACAAGTACATAAAAATTGCCTCAGTGACCCAGTCTTAGTTTGTATATGGAACAGTATTTCTTCATTATTGTTGTTATTATTATTATATTTGAATAAAGGTAATGGATCTCACACCTTTCAAGCACTGATGTTATAGGTTTCACGCCACTGATTCTTCTTAGATCGAATGTAAACATCAGACTCCAGTGATTAAACAAACCCCCAAACTAACCCACAAGCAAACTAGGGTTTGTGCCCCTCTTGTTTGCAGCTGGATTGCATCTGGGGTGGAATAGTGTTAACTGGAGCTTCTGTTGGCATCTTCCAGGGATCTCATTAGGGTGGGAGAATATACTCCAGCTCAGCTGTCCTGAATGCACCTGGGCTGGCTGAAGTAAAAGGCAGTGGGGCTTGCGTGTTGAGGGAGGATTATCTTGTGCTTAACACACAGACATGTAAGAGAGTAGAGATCTCTATTTTAAAATAGCAGAGCACCTTGGGGCGCATGTCATGAGTTTCTATATTTTCCCTGAATTTGCTGGAAGGAACACACGTGGGAGCTCTTTGCCAACATGTAGTTTTACACGTCTCCCAATGAACTCAGATTCACACACGCAGCCTAGCACTTGGGGACTTAGGAGAGAGTTGTGAGATTTTCTAGGGGATTTGGATTGGATTGGATTTCTCAAGTCATATGGGGGTCTTACTAGGACATGTTATAAATATGGATTATAAATTTTTGATTGGGAAAATGGTGTCGAATCTATAGCCTCCCACCCTTAACTTTTTTGAAGTTTCTTTATTAAAGGTGTTCTTCAGTGCAGTTTGTGGCCTATCTGGGGGGCTATAACAATCCGAAATATTTCCCCTGTGTGGGGAAGGGCTGGACATGGTGGGTCTTGGAATCCTCCAGCAACTTGCCCCTGTAGAGGGGCATTGTTGCATGAGTTGGGAGTCTTGGAGGACTTAAAAAGCAGGGTTACTGCCTGTATGGGACTGAGCAACAGTGACTGTGGCAGTGTAAAAACTTTGTAAGCCCATGGGTTGGATGCTGGGCTTTCCATGAGTGTGTTCTCATGTCTGTAAGAGCAAGAAAGACACAGGCTTGTCCTGAGAGTGCTCCTTGCCTCCCAGAAACTCTAGTCCTTAAAGCAAGCTGCTCATGGTAAAGTGGTACAATCATCACTCTGTTTATAAAATCCAGTGAGCAAATGACCAAACTGTAAATTTTCTGTCATTTGCCCAGCCAGACATTTTTTTTCTTTCCTTAACTGAGGGGTTACTACCACATTAGCTGCTATTGCTTCTTCTCAAGTGTCGTTATGATGCTTCCCTGCCTTTCCTCTCCCTTCCTCATAGAAAGAACTGCAGAGAAGTTTAAGAAATTATCTCAGAATGACCTCATTTTTTTTCTGAGAAAGTATGTATTATTTTTAGTACCATTTAAACTTTTTTTTTTTCCCCCTGTTCCTATTTTTTAAAAGACATATTGCTCTTCTTTTGCCCTTTCCCAGCTGCCTGGAGTATTAAAAAAAAAAAAAAAAAAGTTCAAGAGGACATTGCAGACTTGTTAAATTTGAATTTTGGCAGAAAATTTTAAACTTTTGCTATAGCACTTCAAAGTTAGGAGGAACTTGAGTTTGAAAATTGATGCAGATATAAGATGGCATATTTAATGACAGATGTATCTATAGAAACCTGTTAAGATGCAGATTATCCCCCTGGGGAGGGGAGATCAAAACTGCCAATCTATAAAATATACTTGTTAGGGGAAGGCATAGAATCTATCTCTGCGAGCACTTTGATTGCAGGGGACAGTGTAGCAGCATGTGGCATCATAACCTAAGAGCAGACAAATCAGCTTGATGACTTTCAAAGCCAAGAATACTGCTGGAGGCAAGGGTACTCCAGTCTAGAAGAAATTAAAACATATAGAGACTGTTATTAATTCCAGATCTATTTTTGTGTAGTCAAATCTGTATGCAAATCCTTAGCATCTCATTTTGGCAGATTAATCTAAAAGTGAAGAGCGGTATGTGAAGGGAATGTAAAGATAAAACACCACAGATGAGCAATATTGCAGAGGAAAACATGTAAGCTGTGTACTTGATATGAGGGGCTCTTTTGTGAAGAGAGGAAAATAATTTTGGTTATTTAATTATTTCACTATTTTACGAGGAAGCAATCCCCTTCTTTCTTTTTTTCCTACACATCTTTCCCCCCAAATTAATGTGTCCTTTCTGAATTGGAAATACACAACCCAACATCCCATTTCCAATGCATCTTCTGAGTTTAACATTCTGAAGGTAATCATCCAAATAACTATGATTTTTATTTTTCAAAATACTAATATGTCATCTCATTTTTAAACATTACACTAGGAGTGAAAATAACTATGTAAAAGAAAATCAAATTATAAAACAGATACTAGAAAAGATTGTTTTGTGCATGTGGCTGACAGCCACTAACACTGTGAAGGCTGCGCAACAGCGTAGAGACAAATAACAGATTGTGAGATTAGACATGGGAACAATCCTTGCTTTCCAAGGCGTGTTCTTGTGTGTGCAATGCATAGGTGCTGTGACGAGCAGTGTGTGGCATAGTGTGGTGGAAACAGTTTGGAAAGACTACATCTCATCTTGGCTGACTCAGCCTGTAAGTGTCTCTGAGCTGGGAGCCTGTGCTTCCAACCATGTATAGGAGCCCCAGTACAGGGGGGTGTTTGCAGAGATGCTCCCAATTAACAGTGTTTTTCCTACATGCTGGTGGGTTGATGGCAAGACTCTTCAATAGATTTGTCTGTAGGTTCTGCTATCTGTTGATCAGATATGGGCCTCACTCATGTTATTTGGAGTGATCAGAGGGCAAATCTATGTTAGCTTGTAGCTCAGCCCAGTAGGAGCAGATCAGCAGATAAAACTTTGGTGCCAAATTCTCTTTATCTACTCCATGTACAGTTCACATTTTTTGCTTTGAACTAGATTTATTCTGGACCTCTGGACCAAATGTTCCCAGTACTCAGCTGGTACAAAGCCATCTGAAAGACCAGTTACTATTTTACAGCCTTATACCCCGTTAGTAACTGGAGCACAGCTGGTGTACATCTGGAGCAGAGCTGCTGATTTAACTGGAATGCACACCAGTCCCACCCTACAGCCTAAAACGTCATGTGAGAGGTGGGGGAGTTGCTTCAAAATCACAGTATGGCTCTGAACCAAACTGCTGTGATAGGTGCAGTCAGAGACTGGCAAAAATAGGATTCCCCAGCATGAAGACATGTTAACGTTGGTTGGGGATAAAAGAAAAAAACCTCAGTGGCCATAGAACTAGGCCATAGCTCAACCATCAGGAATGAAAGCAGGTTTGCTGCTGCGCTCTCTGGAACAAGGGATGCCCTCTCAAAAAGGGAAGCGTCAACAAATGTAATGACACAGGAAATTCCTTCCTCTCATTGCTGTGGATTTTGTTGGTCATTGGCACATGCTGTTAAAGCTGTAATATGAAAAGTTTGTCAGTATGAGTTTCACTGACATGCCCTAGTTACGTGCAGGTCTTCTGGTAGGATGAAAGGCGAGATGCAGTTTGTAGGCATTTATTTCTGGTCCCAGCTTCCCATGGCCCAGGGTGGTGACAGAGGGGGGACTGGGACCTGTGGTAGTGCTTCAGTGCCACCATGTCCCCCAGAGGCTTAAGCACACTCGAGAACCTGTTTACAGAGGTAGGATTACAGACTTGAGATGGACGACTTTTTCTACCAGTTTGCTCAGTGAGATTTGCCAGTTAAAACCAATAGAAAACAGGATGATCAGGCATTAAACATATACTGTGTTGAGACAAATAGTTGGTTTACAGCATCTACTCTATTCCAGGCTCTTCTGAGGTGCTTTTTACCTTGCTTTCTAAATATTATTGAAAAGTAAATGGTAGTGTTGTTCCTGGTCACTATGGAGGAACCTCCCAATGTAAGTCTACAATTAAGCCAGATGATGTTCTCTCTGAAGTGCAGACTAAGTACAGGATTTCCTTCAAATATATAGGCAATCACAGTTGCAGAGGTTTGTACTATGCATTCCAGCTGACAGTGGTGTCCCATGTCACACTCCTGGTTAGGCAGAGCTCCTCTCCGACCTTTTCCTTCTCTCCGACGCAAGCCCACCTCCTCCTCCTTTAAAACATGTCACATACTGCACGCTCCTTGGAACAGGGATGAGTTTTATCTTCACAACTTAATGATGGCTGAATGCACAGTCATCTATAAACAGATCAATTTTTTATCTCATTTTTAGCCCGTAGAATTAGCTTCACAAAGGAAGTGTGTGTGTGGGGTGTTTGTTATTACTATTTGTTTCTGGATGTTTGACCAAATGTGCTACTTACTACCTTGTAACCAGATTAAAAAGCGCAGTGGAATGGAAGCATAAGTGGTGGTATGCCATGTAATTATGTCAGCAAATGAACCCTAGAATTGGTTATTTTCCTGTACCTGATCTCAGTCCTGGTTTTGCTTATATGAAAAAAATATAACCAGTATAAATCCTTTCACAGGAGGAGTAACAAATACTGCACAGTATCAAAACAGGCTCATGGTCTACGATCCAAAGCAGGTGGGTATCTGTATTGTATATGTTTTTTTTTCTCATATGTTTTGCTTCAAACAGGTCTCTTAGCCTTACAAAAATCATTGTATATATTTTCTAAAACTGCTGACCATTTGAATTAGTGGTGTTTTAAATTCACTGTGGACTGATGTGTGAGTTTAACGGAGTAATGGAGACCCTGACTTTTTTTAAGCCTGTAGGCATTAGAAACATCTTAGATTAAATACAGAAATGTGCTTTAAATCCCCTGTATTTATCAGTATTTATTTTGCTTGTTCATTTTTTTCTTTTTTTGTAATCCAGCAGCCCTGGGCAACATATACTCAAAATCAGTGTCACAAAACCACTCCTTGTCGTTGGCATTTCTGCTTTGAATTGCACATATGGGCTTTTTGTTTTCTGTGTACTTTCAGAACTATGCTACCTGGCCGTGACTTATTCTGCTGACTGCAAGGGTGCCTATCATTTCATTACCCAAGCACCTAAAATATCTTTTAGGGATTATTTCATACATTATGTATGTGTTTTGATTAGGTTAGCTTGGCTCAGTAACCATTTCAGAGGGTTAGGGCATGGTTATGCCCTCTTGCTTGTATTAAGAATTAGAAGTCCTGAGCTTGCAATCAGAGTTGCATAGCCTGATTTACACCCACGTGGAGAGTATTGACTTTTCTGATTGTAGGATAGGGTCTTTGATTGCTGTATTTGGAACCAAATTGTGCCAGGAGATACTTGGATGTGGTTCCCACTGGCTTTTTAAAGCGTAGCACATACGGGTCCTGATGCAGAAAGTTGGCAATGACGTACCTGCTTTTTTCTTTTTGAGGTGCAGTTTTATGCATTGATTGTGCAAATGCTGATTCTGTCCTAAATCCAAGTAGTAATTACAAGCAGCAACCTTATTTTATTTATGAGGTGGGTGTACGTAGATGCTGTGCCTCTACTTGTGTATCTTTTGCTTTGATTCTTTACTTGCTGACATGAAAGCTGCACCCCAGAATACCAGTGGCAGGGCTACTTCAGCATGCCATGCCAACGGCAAGAAACCTGGCCTGGCGCGTAAACAGTTACAGAGGAATTGTGCGCTCGCATTCTTCAAATGAGGTCCGCTTCGTGTTTGTACACACAAGCTCTTTTTAAAAATTCTGCTGGCATATTGTTTACGGTGGGTACTGGAAACCATCACATCTGCTTGCATCTCGCACAGAATCTCAATAACTCTATCATTCAGCACCAGCGCTTGCTTCTGCGCGAGGCCTTTGTGGCGAGTCGATAATGCCTGCCATCTGCCACAGAGCACACAGCTACCTGCCAACAAGCCGGCTGGGGTGACCTCTGCTTCCCCACCACTGATTAGTATTCACACGCCGGCTTATTAGAAATGACCCCACCAGGCCCCTCTGTTTCTTTGCCTTTGCAGTGCTTTGCGGCTCACCTGGCAGGCACTGCAGTGGAGGAAGCTAAAGATATAATCAGGGGATGCAGGCAGGCTTTGCAAAGCAGATGGTGTCTATAGTCTGGTGTTAAGAGACTGGACTACTAATGCAAACATTAATGCCTAATATTCAACTATTACACATTGAAATGTATAGCTATATATTGCAGAGGTTAAAAGGCAGTAGTATTAGAGGCTCTTGAGTTACCGCAAGCGGTAGCACATGTAACGTGAAGAATTTCCTCGCAGATTTTAACTTCCTCCACTTAAATAAATTAATCTCATTCATTGCCAGGTTGTTTGATTTCGTAAGCATAGCAGGAGCAGTTGTTTTCTTGGTCTTAAAGTATTGTCCTTTAATCCCTCTTCTTCCATGTCCTCTTGCCCCTCCCCTGAACAGGTAGAATTCTTGAATATTGTTAACCAGGAAGAAAAATATGCAAAAGGCTGTTACTTTGTAAGTGCCCACAAATAAAGGGCTAGCATTAAACCAAATACATGAATCATTTGAAAAGATTCTTTAGAAAATTATTTTTCCCTGTTGCTTCACTCCCCGAGGATAAGATCAAATAAGATTCTGAATAATGAAAGGTAGAGGAATCTCTCTTCTCTCATAAGAGAGCTAGTTGGTACAGATAACTTCAACACTGTATACAAAGGAGACATATAATAGCCTTGCTTAAGGAGGATTTGCTGCTGAATTATAAAGAAGAAAAAAAGCTTTGAAACCTGATGAGCTAAACAGAAAAATACAGAGCAAGAAATACTATTAAACTAATGAATTTAAATGTGAGAACTGTAAACCACGTGTTGAAAACTCAGTATGTCTTGTCAGTGTCACACCCAACACGTGTGTTTAACATATGAACAACACAAATATATACACTTGTGGTTTCTGGCCAAAGGTAAGGAGAATCACAGAATCATAGAATGCTTTGGGTTGGAAGGGACATTTAAGATCATCTAGTTCCAAGTCCCCTGCCATGGGGAGCTTCCACTAGACCAGGTTGCTCAAAGCCCCGTCCAACCTGACCTTGAACGCTTCCAGGGAGGGGGCAGCCACAGCTTCTCTGGGCAATTTGTTCCAGTATCTCATCACCCTCATGATAAAAGATTTCTTTCTTAAATCTAGTCTGAATCTACCCTCTTTCAGTTTAAAACCATTACCCTCATCCTATCGCTACACTCCCTGATAGAGTCCCTCCCCATCTTTCCGGTAGATGCCTTTAAGTACTGGAAGGCCGCTATATGGTCTCCCCAGAGCCTTCTCCAGGCTGAATAACCCCAACTCTCTCAGCCTGTTCTCATAAGGGAGGTGCTCCGGTCCCCTGATCATCTCTGTGGCCTCCTCTGGACCCGCTTGAGCAGGTCCATGTCCTCCTTATGTTGGGGGACCCAGAGCTGGACACAGCACTCCAGGGTGGAGTCTCATGAGAGCAGAGTAGAGGAGGAGGATCACCTCCCTTGACCTGCTGGTCACACTTCTCTTGATGCAGCCGAGGATGTGGTTGGTTTTCTGGGCTGTGAGCACACATTGCTGGCTCATAGTCAGTTTTCCATCCACTAGTATCCCCAAGTCCTTCACCGCAGGGCTGCTCTCTCAATCCACTCACTGCCCAGCTGGTATCTGTGCTTGGGATTGCCCTGACCCATGTGCAGGACCTTGTACTTGGCCTTGTTGAACTTCAAGAGGTTTGCATGGGGCGACCTTTCAAGCCTGTCAAGGTCCCTCTGGATGGCACCAGTAACATGCTACTATTATTGTACTACTAATATAGGTATGTCTTTGAGCAGTGCTGAGAGAAGTTCTCTCTTTCTTTTTCCAGAATAAGTGGTTGAGCCGTAGCCCGATGTTGCAGAGGAGAGTGTATCACTCCATGGCTGCTGTCCAAAGGAAACTTTACGTGTTAGGTGGGAATGATCTTGACTACAACAATGATCGGATCCTGGTTCGGCACATAGACTCCTACAGCATAGATGCTGACCAATGGACACGTTGCAGCTTCAACATGTTGACAGGCAAGTATTGTACACCAATTCTTTTCCCTTTAGATGTCTTTAGTATGTGGAACTCCACGGCTTTGCTGCAATAGTTTCCCATTTAGGGACTGTCATTGGCCAACAACGCACTTTTGGTTACTGTTCTGGCATTCAGTGTTCTACAAAACATTAATTTTAGGACACTGTAGGGTAAATTTTTAAGAAGGTGCACTTTAATTAAGTAATCAAAAATAATTTATCATAGTATTACCAGTACTTATTTTTGATTCTCCAAGAGCTTGCCCGTGGTGATAGATTCAGCTCCCTGTTTTGAGTGTACAACAGGCAGATGTGTCTCTACCATGATAACATTGTTTTGTAGTGCTTTCAGCTGGTGTTATAGAGCAAAGCTTTCATTGAAATCAATTAACTGTTGCTTCTTTCTAAATAGTATCTTCTTAAATTACCTGAAAGGAGGGGTCTTTGTTAGGATTCTGTCAAGTCAGGGATGAGTTGAGCCGCTCAGCTACAGGATCTGTAAAGTTGTTCTTGGCCAATATTAGGAAGAACTGTCACAGTAGCAACTTGCAACTCACTGTCCACCAAATTTCACCACCACCTGCTACAATTCCCAGATGTCCTACCCCTTCAAATCCCTGGGAGAGACAGACACATGACACATTCTCAGAGTAGTGCCGGCTTTTGCTTTGCAGAAAAGGATGGATTTCCAGGACAGAACAGAACAGTGTTAATGTGACCATTCTCTTGTGCTTCAGACTTGGAGCTCAATTAGTAACAGTACTGGCTGCCAAAGAGTTTCAGCACAGACTGCTATAGAAGTCCAAGAACTGGGCCTACCTCACTTTTCATCCTTTTTCCATTTGCACTGATTTCTGAGATCTACCACTGAAAAGGATGCAAAGGATGCAGGAGCTGAACTAGAAGCTCAGGATAGATAGAAACACCATGTTAGAGAAATGAATGTCTGACAAGTAAGACAGTCACCTTATGTCATTTTCCTCCCAGTGGGTTTAAAGCTGCCTTAGTGGCAACTTTGTATCTCAAAGATATTACATCTAGTTTCTTAGTCTCTGGGATCTGGAGAAGGGTTGCTTGGTTTCTGAGTTAGGTTTTAGGACTACTTCACAGACACTGGGGAGAGAGACATAGATTAAAAAGTAGTTGCACATTGTCAGACAGAACTAGTTTTTCATATCTCTTTTGCTCTTTGGTTAATTATTATCTGGAGGCATTGACAGCCTTTAGAAGGACATCATCTGATTTGCAACTGCAAAAGCTCAGACACTGCAGGCACCCTCATTCCGGAGCTGACCCTATACCAGTAAATGCTGTGAGATAGCAGCCTCTCCTCAGATACAACTTGAGGGGTTGTTTCCACAACTGGCACCTTAAGAAGGCATCTCACCTTTTCTTTGCATCTCTGCAACCAGTGGTAAATGTGCCTGTTGCACTGTGTAGTGCAGATTTTTTTTGAAGGCTGTATTTATCTTTCAAAGCTTTCAAACTTGTTCAGGAAACCATTGCAATGGGAATGAGCTTGCAGAGCAGCTTCTGGTGTTTTCACCATACTTGTACCTGGAGGGATGGGTTGGGGAACAGGTGTGGGCAGAACGTGACGGGCGTTCAGCTCTCTTGGCCTGCGTGTGTCAGGATATTCATGTGCGACAGTAGCCTAGAGGCAGGTGGGGAGCTTGCCCATCACCTATGAAATACACACACACAAAAACCTGTGCCACCAGGGAGACAACAGATGGTCCCCTGCACAGCCACAGTTTATTGCTCATCTGGGATATCTCTCTGGACAGCACCGTACGGGGCTCCTGTGGAGAGCAAAGAACAGCCCTCGTGTTTCACCTTCATTCTTACATGTTGTGAATTCTGAAACAGTCAGGTTACTGCCAGGTGCATTTGTATCCTATTACAGAACTCCAACATTCAGTGTTAAAAGGGTTAATTAAACACTGAAAGTGGTTTCTATTTCCTTTTTTGCTTTAGGTCAAAATGAGTCTGGAGTTGCTGTCCACAATGGTAGAATATACTTAGTTGGCGGCTATTCGATTTGGACAAATGAGCCTTTGGCATGTATCCAGGTGAGTGATTTAGGTTTCTTTTAAAGTCTTTTCCAATAATTTTGCAAAAATACATTTCGCACAGAGGTTATTCAAAAAGGAAAATGCATGTGAAGTGGAGAGATTAAGGATGTTTCTTATGCAGCCACTGAACCTGCATAAATGCAGGGAGGAAATCCTGTAGACATTAAAAATATTTCCAGATGAGCCAGTAGATGCCATTCTTCTAAGATATTCTAGTAAAACAGGGTTGAGGAGTCTCTCCTTTGGCAAGTTTTGGGCAGAATAATGGGTATCTATTCTCAGGTTACACAGTCAAGTTCAAAAGTAAAAGGGTTGTAGAAATGGATGATGGAGCATGGGCTAACAGTTTTTCAGCCCGTCTTGTGACTTTTTTTTTTTTTTTCTTTTCTCTCCAAGTTGTCTTTCTGAAGAGCAGCCAGAGTTAACGAGTTTTTCTTTGACAGAGTTCAGTCAGTCTACAACCTACCCTAATGCTTGCTGCTTCAAAGCTTGAATGGAAGTTTTTTGATCCCTGCTGTAGGCAATAGGTTGTCCAAAAACTCTTCTGCTCTCTCATCTTGTATAAAGAGCAGCTTGCCTGCAGATCCATGGCTTTCAGGTATTCCTGTATAGAAATTAGGAATTCTTATCTTTCTGCATGTTTCTGAGTGAAACAAATCTGCATCACAGTCATCACTTTGTGACCAGCTGGGTAGTTACAGAAGGAAACTCTTGCTTACATCTCAGTTTCTGCACTTTTGCTGATAAACAACATTTTCATTAGCTTCCAAGTTTTTGGATTTTAGGATTTCACCTCCAAACTGTCCCATAAGACTAGAAGTTAGACTTAGCATAAGAAAGGAATGTATTAGATGTTGAGCTGCTGGTCTTACAATGAACACTTCTTAGCATGAGTTTGTAAAGAACAGATAATGCAAGATAAGCAGTTAAGACCACATTCTAGTCATAGTATACTTGAGTTTTAGTAAGCTGCTGGATACTGTACGTAACAATTGTTACTGGAAAAAGTCCTTTGCAGCTTGGGTAACTAGCTGACATACAGTGCTTCAGATGGAGTAATAGCACAGTATCAAGGCCATGGCTGCACTCCACTGACATGCTCATTTACAATCAGCAGGTACTTTGCAGTATTGCACCTGGGTTTAAATACTGCTTAGTGCCAAGTGAAAATGATCCTGGGATCTTGCTTTCTTAAGTGGACATTTGTCCACATCCCCAAACTGGTTGTGAACTGGCAGCCTGCCCGAGACAGTCCCCACATTAAAGGGGAAAGTAGTATAATGAGTGTTTTGGCAGAGCTGTGTGTGCTGCCCCTTCTCAGTTGTTGGCAGTGTGCCTGTCTTTAACCAGCAAAACTAGCCCTTTTATCTTCAATTTCAGCAAATTTAAGGTTGCTCTCTCCATTGTAAGAAAAATACCCACTTTTCCCATATATTTTCATTTTCTTTACATCATTCCTTTATTTAGCCTCTCAGCTTCCATAGAGCTCCCTTGGTCCCTACATCCCACCAAGCTGACAAATGATTTGTACGCTGTGGTACCAGTAGCACTTGTGTGCAGAGCACCCTACCTGCATGGTTGTGTGTTCTGCTGCCCAGAATCAGGATCCAATGTCCCCGTCTGCTGCTGTGCCTGAGATGGCAGAAGATTTGGGCAATGAGGATGGCAATAGTTCACCAGATCCACAAATGCAGGAAATGATTTGAAACTAACTTTCTGTTGGGATTAATAGCACATATGTGGTATGTGCCAGCAAACGTGTTTGAACTTTCTTCTCTGACTTCTGCAATATTTTGTACGCTTTGACTTGCAGGTGCTGGATGTTAGCAAGGAAGGGAAGGAAGAGGTATTCTACGGGCCTACGCTCCCCTTTGCTTCCAACGGAATAGCAGCATGCTTTCTTCCAGCTCCTTATTTCACGTGCCCCAACCTTCAGACTCTGCAAGTGCCTCACCACAGGATTGGCACAATGTGAGACAAGGAATGTGCACTTCATAAAATCAGAAGTGTGGGGGGGAAATCAAACCCTGTCTATAGAAAGGTTTCTCTGGATCAGTGAGAAGAATCAATCCACACGGGCTGCTGCTTTACCTTCACACATTTGTCTTAAAGTCAGATCACAGTAGGCAGGAAGGATGCTACAAAACCTGCCTGCAGTTCCTCTCCTCTGCCTCAGATGTAGACGCATATACATGAGAACCTTTGGCATTTCTGCTGGTGACTACCTGCTACCTGTTTCTACTTCACTTCCTTATGCAACTTCATAAGGCATTGTGGATGCTCTCAGCTCCTCCTGGGCTGCTCTTCTTTGGAGTCTGCACGTTCAGTTGTTTACCAGTGGCACTTTTAAAGTTGATAGGAAGCTCTGTTTATGTTGACAAAGATGATATAATACTGTGGTAATTATGCAACTTACTCGATACCTTTGGCAAAAAGAATAACAAATGTGTTGACTTCCAATTCCACACTCCATCGTTTACAGTTTCTCATTTAATAATACTTCATTTGAAATTTAAATACTGCAAAGCAGATTAAAACAAAAATAAAAAACCACAAGCCCTATAGTATATGAGGAACACATAAAAATTGTCTCAGCTGAAAGACAAAGACACTGAAGCCTCATGGGTAAACCCAAGTCTGAACTGAATGTGTTTGTCTGAGAATCTAAAGATCATTTGGGATGTCATTTACCAAGGTCTACTATCAAATAAATGTTACCTTCTGTCATATGATCAATTCCTCCTGACAGCTGCAGTCTTTTAATGGTGGAGAACAGCCTCTTTACTGTATAATTAAAATGTGCCATTTACTTAATATTTTTAATATCCAGTTTGCAAGGGGTCACCACATTTACAATTATCAATGAAGTCTCATTTTGTCCAACATATGGTCCCACAAATCACTGGTCTCCAGAGGCTAAACAGGTGTAGAACAATGTCAATATTTATTTATTTATTCTTTCGGTTTATATAGTGTGTCTCCATTCCATACTCCAGGCATATGCCAGTTCACAATAAATACTCTAACCTGTTATATTTTGGCTTTGCTTGGCTACTGCAGCCCCTGTCTCTTATTTCTGTGGTTTATTTACATATCTAACAACAACTTCAATGTTTGTAAATATTAACCAAGCATGTAATTAAATCTTTCTCTATTTATGATTTACGGGTATTATGCACTTCTCTGCTTTACCTACTGATCTGTTCCCTGCCACCGTGCTATCTGAGCAGACCTATGAAATTCCTACTGCTGCTCATGCAAATGCCGTGTGCAGAGTATGCTGCAGCAATAGCCTGTGCTTGCTGGACAAGAACAGGTTTGACTTTGTCCAGTGAGCAATGTTTCCAAATCAAATGCTGCTTTTAACTTTTAAGGTTCCGGTTAATCATACAGGGAGGTGAACTTTGTCACTGTTTTTGTCTCCAGCTGGGGCAGCGTACTCACAGCAGATCACCTTTCCTCTTCCAGTAATTCTTAGGTTAGAAAGTTTTGTGGGGCTTTTTGCTGAGCTTTCTCATTCTTGTTGGGTAGAGCAGAGCTGCAGCTGCAGTGCCTTTGCCTAGCACACCAACCTCAGTGCTAACAGTGTCCCCCTCTGCACACAAAACAAGCCTGTATCCTGGCAATACTTTTTTCTAGCTGCATGGGAGCTGTACCTCAGGATTTTTTGTTTTAGATCCTTTTATCTCCTGGAAATCGGCATGCAAGGGCCAGCTCTCCTAACATGCCATTTACACTTTAAAAATCTGACTGGTGCCCGGGCAAGTATTTGAAGTTCTATTTATACATGACTTGCAGTAACACAAACATATTACGTCTCATTTTCAGGAGGTGGTAGCTAAAATAATCGCAACGTGTGTGTAGAGATCCTTGGGGCTTCGAGCCCCACTGCAGCTGAATGACCAGCTTTTGCTCTGGGTGCAGAACTGACATCTACTGCCTGCTTTGCAGGTGGTGAGACAATAATTTCTCAGACTTTGTAAAGCCCAGTGTGTTTCCAGAATATAGTGCAAAGCTTATTTTGTATGTCTCAACTTGGTCTTGAGGCTTTCATTCCTAGGCCTCATAGCTTACCACAGCTTGTAGCTATGGAACAGTTTCTAAACTGCTCCTTCTGGGGAGCGCGGGGAGGGGTAGCGAGGGCTCTGGCGCACTGCTGGGCCGTGGCAGCAAGCTGCAATGCAGGCCCGGCTTTGAGGAGCAGAGTGGGCAGCTTCCTTAAGCAAAGCAGCATGTGTCTTGTGGTTCAAGGACTGAGAGGCAGGAGTGTATGGCAAGAAAGTTATTTATCATGTTTGTTCTGCCCTTTAGAGGCTTTTCCTGTTCTGGTTGTTATCACCAATTGTCTGTTCTGGTGAATAGCCGTTTTAAACAGCTGTGCAATTGCATTAAATTAGTTAAGGGTACCACAGCCACAGAGCCTCAGGACAACACATATGCTCATATTAGTGTCAGAATTCTGCTCTGGCTCTTAATCATCGGGCTCCACTGATTACAGAGAAGTCTTTCAGGGAAACTTCTTATCCCTTAAGTTTTTGTGCCACACTTTCCTATCTGGGTCTTTTGCTTCTGTTGCAGGACCTACAGGACAGGTGGGGTGCTTTGCTGCACCTGAAGTCAGAAAATGCCATGTAGCTCTTGCCAGGTGAGCAAAAACCAGTTATTTATTGCCAGGTAAGAAAAAAGAAGGGTGTTGATGCAAGAGCAGACAGCACTCTGGTGCTAGCAGGGACTCTGCTCTGGCTGAGGGGGTCTCTGCTAGGGAGGAACCAGTGGTGGGAGAGCAAGGCTGGCTTCAGGGCCAGCTGCAGCTCTGCAGGAATCGTGGGCAAAGGCAACCCATGAGCTGAAGCTTCTGAAGAACTGCTCTGAAGTCCTTGCTCTGCCATTCTCCATTTAGTGTCCCTGGCTTCTGAAACTGCACCAGTTGCAGGCTCCTGTGTGCCAGAAACCAGATCTGCCTCTGCTGTTCTAAATGTTTATACCATTTTTGGCAAACATAAACCTCTGAACCCAACCTTTGTCCCTATCCAGCCTACCAGTTTTGGTATTTACCTCTGAAATGCAGTTTAGCTCAGTTTTTCTACAGAGCCTTAAAGTTCTCCATAATAAGACTATTTCCACGCTTGATGGTTCCGTTAGTAGCGTCAGATGAGCACAGCGTGAGAGCAGCTGCCCACACAAGTCACTGGGGTTCCCAGCTGGGAATGTGGACGGTAATGGCACAGGTTGCAACCGGTGAGAACTCTCACTCGTGCTTCCTTACAAGTGAATAATGCAGCAGCAGTTACTAACTGTCAAGTTTGGAAACCAGTGCAGGTCCATGCCCTGAATTCCTCAGATTTACAGATTAAAGCTACTTATATCTGCAACTAGGCTTTTGGGCCACAAGGTCTTGAGAGCTGTGCTGAAGAACTTTTGCACTCTTATGCCTGTCCTGTGATCTCCTTTTTTGGGCCATTCCTGTAAAGAGTAATATTTCATCCTTTATATAGCATACTTCACCTCTGAGTTCTAAGATGTGTTAGCAGCTCTTAGCAATAAATAACCACAACGGCAATCAGCTGCTTTGTGCTTTTTAATCCAAAAAAGACAGTTTCCAGAAGCAGCAGCAGCACCACCAGCCTTTTCTGCCCCTGTGGTCTCTATTGAACATTTCACACACAAGTGCTGACCAAAGAAATACACGTTAAGTGTTGGTGTGCTGCATTTCTGCTTCTGTGCATTAGTGATTTTGTAATCCTTGCATTTCCAGTTGTGGCTTATGATTTTCTTCTTAACTTAGCAGCTTTCAGGGAAAGTACCTGATTCTTGGAATGGTTCAAACTTTTGTAACTCTATTTTCCTCTAAGTTTTGCCTTCCCCAGTTACCCTCCCCCAAACCTGTACAGACATTTAGTGCATCAGTTGCAGAATCATGGAGAAATAGATAATTGAATATTCACACATGCAGAAACAACACAGGCAGAATGTGGAACAATGTGGAAACAAGCGCGAAAAGAGGCGGCATCTGTTTATTGAAAATTAGAATGTAGAATAAATTAAGAGGGCAAGGTTAAAACACATCATCTGCAGGCAGAGTTTGTAGGGGAGGAAGACTTTGCAGGAAGTTTAGCACATAGACTATATAAAGGGCTTATACAGTTTTATTTTTGCAAAACAGTTTTTTTTTTATTTTTCTCCCCAAGGACACATTTTAAAGGTATAAAAAGTGTCCACATAAAGAATGGTTTTCCAATAGAGATGATTATATATAGCTGTTTCACAGTAATGCCAGAATTAAAATGCTTAAAATGTTAACTCTTACTGTGGGTACGTTAGGCTATGTTGCAATGCTTCAAGTATGGAAGCAGAGAGTAAATATTTTTAGTAATACCCTCAATTCATGTAAGTGAATGCTGTGCTCATTTTCCCACTGGTGCCCATACAAGGTCATGCTGGCCCTTTCTAAAACAAATAATGAATTTAGCAAACTTGCGTTTTCAGTGCCTGTTTGTGTGACATTCTGCAGGGAGGAGAGTAGATTCAAGATAGTGTTTGGACTGAAAAACACAGTGAAGTTGGGTTTGATCTGGCATTACTCTGCTGTCATTTCCCAAGGCCTGCAAAGATACCACATCTACAAATGCAAGAACTGAGTTTTTAATTTTTTTTCTGTTCTATACATACCTTCACTTTTCATACAAGTCTACCAAAGGTTTAGCATTTTAAAGCTGCTCAAGTAGACAAAAGCCATATCCTAGTCATTCATCTTAAAACAAGCTTAATTATGCTAGGACATATTGACACTGCATCAGATTTTAATCTTCAACATAATTTTATAACCATTGCTAACAGATGGGCTGATTACACTGAATTTGAGTTTTAAATAATAGTTAAAAATTATAAAATATGATTAAACTGAAAATACCCATGCATACATAATTTTCAAAAGCTACTGAAAGGGGGAAAAACAGAGCGTAATAAAACCTCTTTTCTGTTTCCTGAGGGAAATACATTTCATTTAGGTGGACAGTTATCAAAGTTACTTAAATGACTCTGTAAGTAGTGTATGCTATTGGCAGCTCCTCTTCTGTGCAATTACAACAGATATGCAGAACCTTATTCTTTCCATAGGTGTGCTGCTCTATTCCAGCATAAAAGGCATAAATTTTTCTATTGCAGAAGCTCTTTTATTGAAACAAGTGCCTTCCCCCCTCTATTTTTTTTTTTGTCATTGAAAATGAAAGCAAGGAGTAATTTAAATTACCATGTTCCTGCTCTTTAATAACAATAACAAATGGAAAATTCTTATAAAATAGAGGGACAGCTTTGTGGGACTAATGGAAGTTGAATGTGAATTTTGAACAGAAGGGTGGTTTGGTTTTTTTTTTTTCAGTTATCATTTTAAGGTTACTAAAGGAAAGGTAAACCAGACTTCCCTCTCTCTGCTTTTCATCATGTGCTGGACATCTGTTTCATGTCACAAGGATGATAATGGGTCAGAGGTGATCAGTATCCTGAATTCTGGAATAGGGAAAATATAAAAATGAAATACTTTCTATTCAGCTCCAGATTCTATATATTGCAAAAAGAAAATGGCATAGCAGTCTTCTACCCGGAACAGTCCTCTGGCCAATGAGATCAGCATAGAAGATGCTTATAAGGCTCACAACTGCTGTAAACAGGTCTCCTGTCAACAATTGTTAGTGTTTCTAAACAAAAAGAAATATAGAGAATCATTAAATGGTTTGACGTGGAAGGGACCTTAAAGATCATCTCGTTCCAAGCCCCCTGCCATGGGCAGGGACATTTTCCACTAGACCAGGTTGCTCAAAGCCCTGTCCAGCCTGGCCTTGAACACTGCCAGGGAGGGGGCAGCCACAGGTTCTCTGGGAAACCTGATCCCATGTCTCACCATCCTCACAGTAAAGAATTTATTCCTTATAGCTAACCTAAATCTACCCTCTTCCAGTTTAAAACTGTTACCCCTGGACCATGTAAGTGGCCTGGCAGAAGAATAATCTTACTGAGATTTAATAGTTTGTTATAACTCCATTGACATATGATGATCCTGTAGTAAGAGTAATTAATTAATGTTCAAATTAGGTTAATACCACCAACTTTTCATACGTAGAAAGGGAGGAGGACTAAGCCCAGGTGTATATGTTGAAGTTGCTCTGAGTTTCATTAAGAATTTTTAACTATACCCTTTTCTCAGGATCTTTTCACTCTCAGTTATGGAAGTTAGTTACAAGTGCAGTAAACGTCCCTTTTTGCAGACAATGTTATTTTTAAACATACAGTGAGAGACACTTCTGTTCCAAGAAGTACAATAGTATTCTGCTGCTACGAAAATGTGGGCCAAAGGAGGATCCTATAAAAGGCAAAATCAGGCTATTACTTTATGGTGATGTTCAGACCCAAGCAGGGGCAGAACGAAGCTGTCTAGAGCAGGGACATGTTAGTGCAGTCAACACACTCACAGCCGCAGCGTGGCTTTGGCACATTGGGTCTGACCTGACTCTTAACTCAGACCACTGCTGTGTCTCCATAGCGTATCATCTTGCACCCAACAGCGATTTGCCTTTCAGCCCTCCGGTAATACCGAGTGCTGCTTTGAGACAACAGGCTGACAGTCAGCATCACCTTCCACCACAGCACATGTGGGCAGGCGATGGCTGACAAGAAGGGAATGAAGGAAGGACACAGGTGGGGGCCTTTGTCCTGCTGTTGCTCTGCAAGCCTGTGAGAGGACACAAAAGCCTGAATGAGCTGTGTGAAGGAACTGCACTGGTGTCTGTCTGTCCAAATACCGGTGGTATTGGTACCAGTGACTTGCTTGCAAGAGTCACCGACCCCTACCAAATCCACAATCCTCAGCTCACCTGTTGCAGGCACCTACTTTAAGGTCTGGCCTCTGCCTGGAACCACAGCCCCCACTAGCAAACTGATCCACACAGCTGCTGTCAGGGGCTGGCAACATCCAAGTGGCAGTTTCTGTTGTCTTCTCCACAGGCAATGACAGCCCTTGTATTAATTACCAGTCTTTATTAGATACAAAGTTAGGCTTGGTATATATCTCTAGAAAAGATATATACTTTTCATCTGTTGGAAATCACCTTGGATTTAAGGCACAACCCTTTTCCTGTAATCAACATCTATCCCTGTGATACTCACTTGGGAGAGTGGAAAATAGGCATCTGATCTATATTGCTTAGTGGAAAGCAGATCATCCTGCCAATGGATCAGCAGAGAAAGACATCTGCCCAGCACTAGTGGAATCTGCTGCTCATCCATTATCTGTTACTCCTGAGAAACAAAGCCTTCAAAAGCCATAAGGCAGGGCAAGGCAGTGACACATCTTCACCCTGTAGTCAGGAGAGGATTTCTGTCCTGGTGCTCCCTACAGTGTCTTGACAATGGATGCCTGAAATTGCCTGTCCGAACATGAAAAGACTGCCATCTCATGGAGCCTCTGGGGTTGGTGTAAGACTTGACTAGTAATACCAGAAGTGTCTGCTGGTTCCATTCACTTCAGATTTCAAATACTTACAAAGCATCCATACACACTGACAGGAAAATGCCAGAAGCAAAAGATATATGTAAGTTTAACATTAGGGAGTTGCTGAGGTGTTTAAAATTATTCTTAGTTGCTGTCCAAAGTCACTGCACACTTAAGTATCTGCTGGCTAAACCCTATGATGATATTTTCAGGTGCCACAGAGCCAAACTCCATGTTACCAGGCTACTGATCCCTGGCAGAACTCACAGCTGACTTGCTGCTGCTTTCACACTTTTCCTACTCTGCGTACAGGGTCCAATACAGACACCTCAGCACACACCCACCAATTTCAACCTTGCACAAACGACTGTGGGGATGAGTCTCTGGTGGAGGGAGAAGAGGAAAGCAAGCTTCCCTTCCTCTGCCAGAGGTTAAGGATACCACTCACCCAATAGTGGAAGTCTTATTTTCATATCCCCTCTTAACCTGATTTACAGCAAGGCTCTATTCTATTGTTTATTAAGCACAGTGAAGAGGCAGACTTTGCATCTACATGCCAATGAACTGCTCCTGCCAGTGGTAGCAACCAGTGTAAAAGCTTTCCAGGATCTCCTGCTCTTAGCTTAAGCAGTTCTCTATGCATTGTGTAAGGAAGCTAGACATTTGTACTGTTTTTAAACCAAACTCTTCATATGTAAAGTAATATAGGAAGATTTAACTTAAATAATGTTCACTCTCCTAAGCAGCCTCTACACAGACAGCATCTAATAAGACATAATACATAATTTCAGTTCATGGTGGTTTTCAGTCTTTACTTTTTCTATATTATAATTAAATTCAGCACTTTCTTCTTTTCTAACTGATTTTGGACTGTTGTTTTGGTGTATACTTGGTAAGGCAGTATAGACTAACAGTCTGCAAGCCTTCATCTCATTAATATTATCAGAACTGTCAGTCACATCTGCAAATGTCCATACCAAATAATTAGACCAAACCAGATTGCCCATTTGGCAGTGGTTGATGAATATGATGCAAAATGCTTTATTTCTGTTCACATTAACTTTTTGACAGAGAATAATAATTTCCAAACAGTTTAAGTTAATTTCTCATGCACCAGGAGCTATTACAGATTTACATAAAGCTATGTTGCTTTTTCAGAAACTTCCAGGCACTATAGATAGTGGTCTTTAACAATCTACTATAGTCATCCTTAAATGTTTTGTTATAATATCTGCTCCATCCTTTAAAAGTCAAAGGTTTTACGTTCAGGAAGTAATACCACAGTCAGTCATCTGCTCCATAAACTACTGTGTGATAGGACACAAATTTCAAAGACATCTCTATTAATCTCTCTTGGAGAGGTATTTATTTATTTATTTATTTAAAAAGCTTTTTAGAAGCACAATCCTCTTGAGATGAATAAAACTCCTCCCAGGTACAGAAGCTTACAAGAAACTACAATGCAAGTTCAGTAAGTCACTTCCATAATGAAAAGAACCTCCATGTTCTGCACTATTAAGTAGCCTAAAGAGGCTTTTAGTTACTGCATTATCTGAAGTAACGATAGCCGATTGAGGCAAAAAGATTATCTAGTTCGACTTGATAAGATTACTGCAATGAAAGAAAAGCTGCTCTGAACAAGATTTTAGGGTTTTTTTGTGGAGCTGTTAGACAGCTTCCCATTAATATAGTAAAGTTAAAATTTGGATAATTTTAGAAGCAGCCTGTTCACCAGTGTTGCCATTAGGGGCAAACTTACCACTCCCAAAGTCCAGTAAGTAGTTTCAGTAATACAGGTTACTGAGGGAAGTGAGAAGTGTGAATACCACAGGCATTAACGGAACTTTCCTGAGAACTTCAGAAAAAAAAAAAAAGTAGAGAAAGTTACAGAGCTAGACCTATCCTGGAAAGACCTAAACGATAATCCATAACACGGCAAAATATTTGAAAGATCCAACTTCCCAGGCAAACAGAAATAATTACTAGTGTATGATCAAGTGGAATAATTCCCTAAATTAATATGTTCTTTAGAAGCCTGTCCTCCTTTTTTTTTTTCCTCACACAGTTTACATCTAGTCTAAATTAAATGGATAATTAACAGTGTCGCGACTAATAAAAAGATTGTGGGATCACTGTAAATATGGGTTAATTTTAAGAAAATAGTATTGAAAAGAAAGAGGACAGGAAATCTGAACCTACCTTTTCTTATATTACCCACAATAACAGAAGAGATTTTACACTGGAATTTGAAAGACTGTAATATTTTAATATAGGTGGGAGGTTAAGACAGTTATATACATTTCATGAAACATACATACAAGCGCTCTCAACCAACGATAGCTCTATCATACTGGTGAAATTCCTGGTGAATGCAATGTATTTAACAAGATCACAGCTTTTTTTCATTCTACTAAAATAAGTTAGAAATTACAAAGTTATGATTTTCCTAAGAACATACTGAATAAGAATTTCAGAAGTACAGTGTTAAGAGGGTCAGGTCTCACTCAATGTGAGCTGAGTTGTGAAATTACTTCGATTCTTTGAAATCCTATCTCCTATGTTGCAATACAGGCTCTGCTCATATAGACATTTAACGTGTAATAAGTTCACTGGATCTTTCAATTGCCATTCAACAGTATATTGACTGTTACTCTTCAGATGCATGACATTATTCAAATATCACAGAAATTATTAAAATTAATACATAACTTAGGAGGGGTGGGGAAACAAAAAACTGATAAAGACATTGCCATTGTAAAGAAAAAGAACTTGGCTAGTGTGTCATAGAATGCAGGTTTAGGTACTGACAGTGTCAGAACGTTCAAGAGGAAACGATTAAACACCAGCACACTGCTAACCTGTCTCACTTTCCAGTTTTTGTATCTCATTTTGTCCAGCCTCTGTGAGGTAAGATAAGAGTCTTTTATAGGCTTCTCTGTTGAAAAAAATAAGAGAAAGTAACATGTTAATCTCAAACATTCTAGGAGTACAAGCACATAATTCCCAAACATATTGTTTTCATATTGGGATATTAGAACACAGTAACTCTTCCCCTCTGCCCCCACCCCTCATCTATTCAACTGCTTTGTTTGCTGTGAATTTTCAGCATGGCAAGGCTGGAAAAAGAATAAAGATTGCCTTGTTTATGGCTACTAGTGTAGTGAAGATTCTTAGAAGTCTACTTGTTTAGTAAAATGCTGTGAAATATATTTTATTAAAAATTTAAAACATGAGTTTCCAAGGCTTAGATGAGATTGGCATTCAAATGTCATCATGCTTTCTATCTGATTTCTGCACAAGAAATCTCTGTGCCTTATGCCGCAGCGCAATGACGCGAGCCATGGGCACTAGGGTGCAGGCTGGCACTGACACAGATTTAGACCATCATCCTCAACAAAGGGCAGTGACTGTTCTAAAATAAACCTGGAATTCAGAAGGGGACTGTTACTCAAGTGGATTTGCCAGAAGAGCATGTATGCATTGGCAAGACTTTTCACCTGAAGTTCATTCTAATACTCTCCTGGACAATATAATTATACTGCCTCTGACGTTTAGATCTGTACTAATTATATATCTTTTTAATGAAGTACTAACTTGAGCAAACAAAAATGCAGTTTTCATTCTAGTTCCCTGCAATAATAATACTGGACATCACCACTATAAGCATCTAACTTCTGAAGTTGGTTTCTTTTATATATACATGGGTTTGCAGTTTAATGTCTACAATAATTGCACAGAATATGTTAATATAATATTATTTAGTGGCCAGGACCGAAGAGAAAAAAAATCAGTTATTAGTGTTCTTACAATAAACTGTTCATGGATCACCCTAGACTGCTGGGTAATGGAGCAATTTCTGAATACAAATTATTAACACAAAACATCAACAACAGATTAGATAATATATATGTTAAATTATGAAGCTAAAAGAAACTTAGCTCTTCAGAAATCTCCAAGCATATATTTCAGGAAGCTCAAACCACCTGCTTTTTTTTTTTTTTTTTTCATATTCTGTAGGTAAAAGGGATCAATTTTACCTTATTAACAGTATTTTTTAAAAAAATAAAATTGGCTGTGAAATACATTATCAAAAGACCAAAAGAAAACAGTATGAAAATCCTGCATATAATGGTACTTCAGTCTGACCTTGGGTGAATTACCTTAAATAAAAGCAAATGTATTTGTTGGTAGAAGATAATAAAAAGTGAGTAATATAATTACAAATAATTTATTTTTCATTAAATGGAAAATTAATACCCTTTGACTACCCTTTACTGTCTCATGAGTTACACTCTTATACAACTGTCTTTTGGACTTCTTATAGCCCAGGCCCTGCTAATAAGCACCTCAAAATTTCTCCAGCCAGAGGTGTGACTGGGATCCTACCCATTGAGTAGTCCCAGTATGGGCATTAATGCAAACGCTGAGGCCTGTTACTTGCCCTGACCACAGGAGGGTCAAGGGCCAGCCCTCCAGTGAGCAGAACTAACAGGAGCAGCAATTTCGACTCAGGTGCCACACTGGGCAGAGCTTCCTGGAGTTGTGTAACAGCATTTCTATAGGTGCTGGAAGTTCAGTGCTGCATCTGCACCCAGGGACACCACTGTCTGTGCAGAGCTGCTCATCTCACATGCCATTTCTTCCTAATGCTAGATGGATTCAAAAGTCAAACATTTCTGTCCTGTGTTCTTGGGGGCAAAGGGAGCAAGTGTGAGTCTGCTGTCCCCATGGGAGAGAGACGGCCAGCCTCTTCTGGACACCCACAACTCTTGTATGTTTATATTACAAGACAACTCTTGAAATTAAGCCATGGGCATTTCTTTTCCAGGCATCTAAGATCACACCTGATTATACAGTGATTTTAGATATGACCCATGAAGTCCTCTAAAGCAGGGACTGACATAATTCTTTGGGGCAGGAATTCTTCTTTATTCTGTTTTGCAACATAGAGTGTAGTGAGCAGAGGAATCTGGCTGGCTTCACATAAATTCTACTGGGGTCTGTAGCCCTAGCATCAAAACATCTCTGAAAATCTTTAGCAAATATAGATGTCTTAAAACCATGAAAGGCCTGAGCAGAGGGAGATTTCTGGATGAACACACTTAAAAAAATCACTCATTTTTTAATATGTGTGCTGCTGTCTAACATTGCTTTCTTTCAAGAGAATAAACCTCTACTGGTCATTGTCAAAAAACTGTATTAAAAATCAAACCTCTGTGCTGCATTTCTTCCAAGACCTTGTTTGTGCTCTGAATCCTTCAGAGACTGTGTGATTGTGGGAATCAGGCTGGTAACTAACGTCTGATCCAAGACTGCCACTGTTTCTAGTATGCTGAAAACCCGGTGATCATACACGGCGGTGTAGTCCTGGATAAACTGCCTGAGGGGGACACAGAGGCATTTAATGCAAGGTCGGAACTAGATGCAGAGAGAATGCCAAGAACAACTGAAGAGTCTAATCAGAACAAGCAATCTGGCTGCATGGCAATTTTCATATTGTTACACTTGAAATACTCTACATGGAATACTTCTTCCAAACGAAGCCATGCTTTTAAAGGCTAATGCTAAAAAACCCCACACGTTTATTTTCAAGCAATTTGTCAGATTCTGCTTCTGTTTCACCAGGGCTTACTTGTTCCAGAGCACTGCACTTTGTAGTTTTCCATTCAGATACATTAAACCATGTATTTATTTTTTACTTAAAAAAACCCCAAACCCCCAACAAAATAAGAAATCCAGATTCAAGTCTGCAGAAATAATGTTGGCATTTCTTATAAAGCTCCACTGGACCTTAAGCAGGGCAGACCACTGGATGGAAGCACACCCATTTGTCTTCCTGAGTGTTTGAGGCCTTTAAAGATCACAGATTACATTCGAATCAGAAGTAACACCCTAGAGATTAAACATCCCATGAAAGTGATATATCATGTACAGGGAGACTGGCATGCCCACAAACATCCATTCTTATTTCAGCAAGTCCCTCTGGAGCTTTCATCTAGACATGACCCAGTACAGCAGCAGTGCTTAGATTTGCAAAATGTCTTCAGGTCATGCAGCTCTTCTACCTGTATCCATGTGAGAAATAGGATTCATTTTGCAGAGGCATGGATCAGTATAATTTACATTATAATACTCAATCTATTATTTGTCACAAAATCACATCAATTAAAAAATAAAAAAGCTAAGCTTGTTGTATGAGAATTTGATCTCCATTATATACGCTTCAAATTAGGCGCACACATTTTCACAGGACCTAATAGTGACCATCCCCATTCACGAGGGGTTTCTCCCATTGCAGCAGCAACATACCTCTCCTATACCTTTTAAAACAGTACCTAATCCATGAGACAGCAGGTATATTGCTCTCTTCTACTTTTTTTCTCTGGCTTTTTGGCCAAGCCATGTTTAAAACCAGTGCCAAAAGCATCACTATTTAAATACCATAAACAAGTGACAATGCAGTATGTTAAGGATAATTAGTTATTTAGAAAAAACATGTTTGCTGTCAATTGGCTTGCAGTAGCTTCCCTGCCAATTGGCATATTTTCTGGTTACCTAAATACAGAAGTCAGCTGGGTGGCACGTTCTCCTCCTGACCCTGCTTGGCAGCATTCTACCATGTACTGTACAAGGTCTGTAGATATTTTTTTAACTGCAAAAGAAAAATCACAAGATTCACACTGAGCTCTTGAACTGACCATCTGGAGAATGTCTTTCATGAAGACTACAATTTTTAAATGAGAAAAAAACCGCTTTTATCTTACTTTGATGCAAGGCAAATGACTGTGAGAGCAGTTAGATTGGCTATAAAGAACAGAATGAATCACAGATTTATGCAAAAGTCTTATTTTCACCACCATTATCCTTTAAACATACAGATTTTTAAGTACACTATAGTCTCTTTAAGACAAAGCAAATAGATATACACTTAGTGGAAATAGAGATTTTATTTAAATTCAAGTTTTGTTTGAGTTCTTTAATCATTCCTATTTGAATTAAAGAAAAGCAGTCATGGCATTATATCCTGCCCAAAGCTATACAGATACTCCTTACTTTCAATGGTGGATGTTGTTCTGAATTCCACCCTTCTATCTTTTTTTAAGGGGACCCCCCCCCCCAAAAAAAAAAACCCAACACAAACCAAAGCAAACCCTTACTATTCTCCTCCCCTTATTTTTTTCCAAATAAGTATTCAAGTTGCAAGATACAGCTCTTCCTTTATAAAGGTGGAACTGGGCTGCAAGGAATTTTCTACAAGGGGTTGGTGGAGCCCTGTCCAGGGAGGCAGTGAGCTGATGGTTACAGCAGCACAAGGCATTCAGCTCATTCTACTCCACAGGGCGTTGCAAAGCAGGTATGCTTGCACATCTTGAAACTTTTATAGACCAGAATCAAAAAGTCCTTTTTTAAACACAAAATTTCCAGAAGTCAGAGGTGAATCCCCATTTTGCTTAATGCCTCCAATGGCAGCAAGAGATGGAAATTTTGAGTTTATGCACACATGCATTATACAACTGTGGGGTGAACAGAGTGCTTCATTTTTTAAGAAGCTAAAAATAAAGAAGTTCTCACTACCAAACAAAGCATGCTAAAAGAAGGAAGAAGACTCAAAGATGCCTTTAGAGAGCAACATGCTACTTTTAATCCATTTATCATGCCTCTATAGAGAGAGCATACGCTAGTCTTATTTGGTCTCAAACCTTTTGGTGCAAGAAAGCTTCCACAGTTACCAAGTCTGGGATAAATGAGATGGGAAGGATGAGGAGAAAGGAAATGCTCTTCAGATTTCTGAGAAGTTGATCATTAGTTCATTAGAGAGTGAAACAAGGCAGGACTTCTTTGCCTCTTGGAGACAGAAGTCACAGACCAGCTAAGGAAAAAAGAAAGCTTGTCCAGTTTATCTGGACAAAGTATCTCATTCACCTCATTTAAGAGTCTGAAATATTGGAATGAAAGAAGGTCCACAGTACAAAAAGCTTACAGGTGTGCAGAGAGGTATTTAAAGCAAACAAGAGGCTCACCTTGTAGCTCATTAACCAACACCATGCATTTCAACACGGCCGGGAGAACCAATTCAATGTCACATAGTTCAGTGCTTTGAGTTCTCTGAAGTACGTCAAGAATGAAAGCAAGAACTGAGGCCAAGCGAGGTGGTGGAGCATTACCTTTGAACTGCATGTAATTTTCACTGGGAAGACAAAGCAAACCAAAACAGAGTCTATAATTTGGGTTTTTTCCATTCAATGCAAGCACCATACAACTTAAAATAACTTTGTGGTATTTCAACAGGAAGTCTATTACATCGATTTCTATCTTTATCTAGGCTCAACTAATGGCTTCTATTTGTCTTAGCCTTAGAAAAGGCTCCCAATTTATTCACTGGACAAGTGATGCCATCTGACTCTTCTGTTGAGGGAAGTGAGAAATATGCTATGATAATCAAAGTTAAAAAGCCAAGTGTGACTACAAAAGTTAAAATATAAAGGCAGCTTCATAAAATAACCGAAAAAAAAAAGAAGTCAAGTTTTTAAGACCCTAAACCAACGTCCAAAATACAACTGCTGTTCAATTACTTTATTTAGCTTTATGTGCTTTTGTCAACTCACAATCCAACTTGTTATAACAGCTCTGCTGTTATACTGGTACTGTTATTTTATTTTTGTCAACAGTATGTTGTAACAGGACAGCCAATGTCTGCTTTTGCTCCGTCACAATTAACACAATCATGGCCAGTATAAAATTTGTCACAAAGATAAAAAGTGACCCGTCGATCTGCAACAAGAGCAAATTTTGACACCACGCACACTGAATGTTCCAATCCGAATGGTTTGATTGATTATTCTTCCACAAAAGAATACAAGAAATCTGAACTACTGTTAATTCACTAATTACAAATTACTGAAATCTTAAGACAGTGCGCTTAAATTGAAGCATTCAGGACAGAAAAGTGCAGGTAAAAAGAGCACAGCATTTACTCATCAGCTAGCAAGAGCACTCTCAGAAGCTGCAAAATAACTTTTTAGATATTTAATATTGTGTAGCAGTAGCTACCCCAAAAAGGCATGCATGTTTACTGAGCAACGTATCAATTAAAAATCACCATCCTTGTTAAAAACTTACTAAGGCACGCTTCTACAACTTTCAAATGAAACCTGACTTTCAGAGATCTGAGCATTTCGTTGCACAGCTTCAGAGCACTGCTATAACTTGGCAAATGAAAGTTGTAATGCTTTCCTTGTATATTCCTTGTATCGTGTGGTCTTGCTCACTTCAGTATTAGCAACTCTGAAATCTTCTGTCCTGTTAATTTACAATGAAGATTTCACACTGAATTTTTTTTTTTTTTTTTTTGGGGGGGTGCTCTTCCACTAAAATGGTTCTCTGACCTGGATAATACACTCCTGATCTCATGGTTCAATTTCCTCTTTGCAGCAGCAAGACATTCACTAGTTTTCATATGTCAAAACAGCTAGCAAACTCGTATTTATGTATAGAACTACTGACTGCCTCCTGACCACCCAACAGTTTGTAAATCAGACTGCTGCTCAGTTCTAAGATATTCTTCCCAGATCACTAAGGAATGTTTCATGTCTTACAAGTCACCAAATGCCACTACACTTTCAGAAGTTATTTTCCACTATCAACCTTAAAATTCACACATGCATGCACACATTCACAAAGAACATAAGATGATAAAGTCTGAGTATTTGTAAGTTAAAAACATGTCAGAAATAGGACTATGAAATCTTAATTCATTCCTTCAATATGCGATAATACAGGCTTCACTTACAGGACCGCCTGTAATATTTACCCAAGATCAACACTAAAATTCTCTTGATCAACATGTACATACACTCTTTAATGCAGAAAAATACAATTACCTTGGGTATAAGCAATCACATTATATTTCAGTGTGTTGAATTCCTCTCCCAACACAGACAATAAGTACAGATTGTTCCCTGTTCTGCAGTACATAAAACAAAGCTTCGGCTTTTCAGCAGAAGAGACCTAGCAGTTATAGCTGCTGTTGACATCATGCGAGTAGTGTCAGCACAGCGAACAAGTACTTTCTCCTTGCCTCTACATCTCCCCTCTTCCCACATCCCAAATTTTCCATTTCCCTGGGTAGCTGGTACACCTACGTATACCCTGACACTTATAGAGCAACGAGGCCTCCCATGCACTGCGACTCTGTGACCCTAAATACAGACCGAGACACAAACATACGATGACATATGTTGGAGTGCAATTTTTCTAGAAAAATACTTGCTTTTCATGTGGCCCCATGGGACTTTTTCCTTGTAGTCTAGAAGCTCCACCCTCAATGATTCTTTCAGTAGTCTCCCAATCTTCCCAATTTTACTCTCCTGCTCTATACACGCTGTCCTTCCTTTGCTCCCTGCACAGCAGCTTACAAGATCTTCTAATAGTCAATCCACCAGTTATCAAGAAGAGCAGCATTCCCTTCCTCATTAGCTGTTTTCTGAAATCTGAATAAGTGATGTTTTTTTACTTCACTGGTCCTTACTTTACAACATGCAGAGTGGTCTTCCTTAGTCGGAGCATCTGGGGGGCTGTAATGGAACTGCATAAAGCAGTCAGCATAGGATGCTGTCCAGCTCCAGGCGCAGTTGGAGAAGAAGGGAGAAATCGTCCAAAATACTGTTGAATAATACTCCCAAGCAGTTGATTTAAATAGGCACACTGCGTTTGGGACTGACAACATATAAAGGACAGGCCCTGTAGAAGAAAATTTTTAAAAGTGAGAAATTGAATAAATTTTTAACAGTACTTTTGAATAAATCTTTAACAACCATAGGCTAAATACTTGCTATACATTTTGTAAACTGCTGCACACATAGTGACTACTGCATGACAAATAAGCATCAGTAATTTGCTGCAGATATGATGGTCTACAAATGAAAACCTCGCCAGGGCAAGGCTTGAAAACAAGAGAAGATTCTTTTACTAGACTAATTAATATATTGGAAGATAACCTTTAGGACATGCAATCTCGCCTTCAAATTTGAATTAAAATGTTGGCATTTCAGACTTGAGAAGTGTTTCTGTGCCCAAGAGCTCCTCCTTTCTTTTTCAACTCTGTATATGGTCTCATAAAGTATATTAGTCAGGTAAGATTTATGAAGGGAGAGAGAGAATACCTCATTTGTAAAGCACCATGTGAAATTTTTGTACAAACAACATAGAAAAATGAGCACTTTAGATTTGTGGTCTGACAAGAAAAATTTTCCTTACAGTGTGAACAAATTAGGGTAAGTTAGGCACCATTTATAAGGTATTTACAGGGTTTTTTAAAATCTGTTTAAGATAAGGCTAAATCTGCTGTGATTTATCCAATATAAGCTATATTGATCCAAAGAAAAATCTATAACGAAAGTACTTGCCCAGAAAATGCCTATCTGAACACTACCCATAGTTATACAACATATACACAGTACATCTCTGACAAAATTAGTGTTATTCTTACTGGTACAAGCTGCTGTGAGAGAAAATTAAGAGTTTCCTTCCCCCTCCTTTGATTACTGAAAGGAAGAACAACAAATCACTAAGAAAAAATATTTGTCTCCTATCACAAGGGACACAGTCACTAGCAAAAAGAGAATCCTCTTGAAAATTCAATTTTCACAATAGTTTTGTCCAACAAGAAAAAAGGTGTAAAAGAAGGTCAAGCACAGAGTTCCCTAGACAGCAACTTCAACAGTACTTCAAACCTCCACAAGCACTGTAATCCAGGCTCCAGTTTTGGCAGCAGGACTATCTGCCTGAATATTAACGGCTGCTGAGGTAAACTAATGCTCTTAATATATGAATGAATAGTTCAAGACAGCTACTGGCAAAGAGTATTTCTGTTGCTTTTTACATAGGAGTTCCTCCCCAGAAAGATTTTCATCTGTACCTGTCTGTGCAAACATGAGAGACCAATCCTCCAGAAAAAAAGCAGGCTGAGACATAGCTTAGTTTTCTTGGCACTTTCTTGAAATGGAGAGTTCCCACTTCTGGTTCCACAGTAAACAGAGAGATTTGAGATTTTGAGATTTTAAGAAATGAGGTGCTTCAGAACCCGCCTGAAGACTTGCTGTAGGTGGCCCTCTTGTACACAGGCATGTTGGTTAGGGTCTAACTTCACATACTTCTAGAGCTCCTTGGTAATTTTGCTAAGTCCCAATGATAAAACACACGCTTCCTGAACTGGGGCTTTGATAAACAGTTCAGATACTCTCCTCTTTTTGTGTACATACAGCAAAATTTTGTAGGAAAAAGCAGCTGCTGCTATATCAGAAGTCTTAAAACCACTGCTTGGCAAGTAGTAGACACAGAGAAACTATTACAGATGACAGATTATTTAGTATGCAAACTTGAGTGTTTGGTGTTTTCAATAAGTTGTTGCAGCAGGCATAAAGAAGTCTTGACTGTGCTTTCTGTACTACAGCTCTCACAAAGATGACAGAAAATATTCCATAATCCCAAAATCAGAGCTGGCACTCTTAAGACTCTAGACTGTTTTAACACTATAAAAAAAAAACCCTATGAAAAAGTCTATTAAACTATTTGATAAAAGGAACACACAGAATATCACAACCTTACAGAGGACACGTGAAGGAATACACGAAGAACCTAGCACCTGTGAAGAACTAACAACGATAATTACTAAAATGAGACAGTTCTACAAATTCAGGATCAACAAAAGCTACATAGTATGAAGAAAAGAAGAAATCAGTTATGACTAAATAATGAAAGTTAGTTTTTAATAAATTATCCTAAAGATACTTCATTGGTGCAAGAAAAAGCAAAAAGTTTTAAAATTTACATAGTTGAAGGAACATGAATTTTTGCACATCTTCTAACAGTTTCACTTGAAGATGGCTCAACAAGCCTAGGCTGATCCTTTTAATTTTTTTGAGTTGAAGTAAACCATTTCTAATTTTTTGGGGGTGTGGGATGGGGAGAGATGTAATCTGAAAAAGGAGGAAAGGATTAAAGAAAAAAAATCCCCCAAACCAAAGATATGCTTCTTGACTAGAGAGGAAAAAAAGGACATAAGTTAACTAGTGATTCTTTTCTTTAGTTCTCTGATAAGGATAGAGAGTGCTCTTGAAACCCTGTAAGGACAGCTGGTAAGAAGTGTTTAAAAACATGGAAAACGCTTTTTTTGTAATCAAATATTTTCTTTAGAAAGTATTCTATGTTCCTTTTTGGTGGGTCAGGCAGAGATGCTGCCTCTCAAAAAAGGTGTAATTTTTAAAACCATGTAAACCAAAACTCTATCTTCAATAGGAGGACCCTCATCAGTTTTCCTAATGAAAGTTAAAAGATTAGTACCAATGGATTCCAAGATACAAATTTTTTTTTTTGAGTGAAACAGAGAGAAAAATCACCTTTCATCTTATCAAGAGCCAGAAAAACACCCCCAAACAAAAAAAATCCTTCTCTTCTACATAGTAGTAAAATCTATGAATCAGTCCTCTACACATGAAGGGCACATCTACAGCATCAAAGCTCTTCAGGGAAGAATCATCACACCTTTGACCCTGACGTTTCTACTGTTCCTTAAAAGTTTCCAGAGAACAACCTGGATTTCTCTTTTGAAGGCTCATTGACTGTAGCTCAACACTGTGTTCTTTATTTTAGACTCTTTTTTTCTTACATAAGTGCAGAGAGCAACAGACCTGCACAAGGTCTGACAACGCCCTATCCCAAGTGGCACAAGGGATAAGTTACCAACACTGCACTGTAGCTGCAAATCTCACAGTACAATGGCAAAATATCCTGGGCAGCGCTGGCCAGGGATGTGATTACAAGAAAATCACATAGAACTTTCTTCTTTTAAATCCTACCAGTAATTAACAGAGATGAAGGAAGCTACTGTTCATATGAGAGAGAAAAGAAACACATGCTACTGGACTTCAATTCGGGACCAGAGATCTGAAATCAATCACATCAGACCCCTAGGACAATCCCTACAAAGCAGATGGACATTAAAGGGTAGATAGAGCTGCTGCTCTCTTTCTTAACTATGTTCTTTAGCCATCTTCTGAGGTTAAAATAACCCCCAAAACAAAGACATTTTAAGGGGAGCAGAGGGGCATGACAACATCTGCTCCCCATTTTCGCAGAAAGGCAACCGATTCCTGTGCGTGTTCACTGCAGGAACCTTTTGTGGTCAGAGCTGCCTCTTTCTTCTGATTTATCCATATATCTGTAAATCACCTGTGGAGAGCGAAGAACCGATTAGTATGGATTACTGGAACTATTCACTGCAGAAACGTCAAGCTACCTAATGATGACTTATAATATTGGTCCTGCTGTTGGAATAAATCTGCTGTTCACCAATTAATGTTGTACAATTCCTATTAAACACATACTATAATTCACAAAACATATTAATAAGCTTGCTCAAATATCGGACCACAGATGTGACTCACAGGAGGGCTTTTAAGGTCTGATCTCTGACTAATGCTGAGCCTGCACAGGCCCATTAAAATCACTGGAAAATGTATGTGCCAAGCACTACTTAGAATTAAGCTCTTTCAACACTCTCCGGTATTTAGACAGAAATCAACCATCTTCTGTGTTTAGACAGGTTTAACACTGATAAATCAAGCAGGGTATGTTGCTTTGCCATCATTATGTATATTATGCTTTTTTCATGCACCTACACTGTATTCTGCAAGATATATTTAAACTAGTATCTTTTCTCTAAAATAAGTTCTGTACACCACTTCAGTTCTTTCGCATATTACGGGTAAATGCATATCAAAATTCCTCCAAATCATTCTCCAAAAATCCATTCAAAAGCAATCTCAACTGCTCTCATATTTCCTCTGGTAAGCTTCAGTGATCCACTATCACACAGATCAACTCAACTTCTCTTTACAGTGACAAAATATCTCAAGTTAGATTTCACATGCCTCACTATCTCATAATTAAGAACAGTCCCATAAAATTATGAAATAGCTGTTCATTATTCCTGCTTTACTTTCTGAAGTCCGTCAAACAACTCGGAGGACAATTTTGATCTTATATCCCAACAAAATCTTTCTTAGGTCATCAAATATTATCAAAACAGATGACACAGAAATAATATCCACAGAGTAACCCTTTAGGTGAGAAAAAAAAAAGTTTAAAGGTACTAGAGCTAAGCTATTTTGACAAGGCAGTATCAGTGACTGAGATTAAAGGAAACTTCTAGATAAGTTGAATGTATAGTAGAGGACAGACCAGCTGCCTAATAACTGTCAAAAGGCACAACTGTATAATCCAAATTTATATATGAACACAAACATAACAAGTAAATATAGTCAGTCTGAATTAAGGAGAGAGAAATGCAATGTCTAGTGTTAATTAGCACACTTGACATTTATGCTTATGTAAAATTAAACAAAGTCTGTAATTTTGATCTATTAAAAATAAACTTGTGGGTCTGGGGTGCTGAAGGAAAGTGAGATACAGTCATCAGTTCTGGTGAATTGTGAAGGTGGTAATGAACTATGCTGTGGAGAGAGAAGGAGCTTCGTATGTTGTCCTAGAAGATGAAAAAATGGCCTCCACCATTATAGGGTGATGAACAAAAGCAATGCCCTCTCTTAGTACAGCACAGTGGCAACAACATTGTCCATGTTCTTAAGCCTGCTGCCCAAGTTGCGTGGCAAGCTGCATTGCCATTACACAGCATATGTGACCATTTGGGGAACCTTTTTGTATACAATTCAGGAACTCTTTAGGATTTAGTAAGATTGCTGCATCAATGACTGTGTGAAATTAATTACCTGCTACTAAGACTGATTTCAAATCCTTTCAAAACCCTCATAAAAGGATCAAATAAACCACAATTAAGATTAGCTGTTAAAAGCTCTGGAAATAGGGAGGTTTTGCAAACCATTGCTTGCAAACTAAGACATTTTCTGAGATCTAAGGAGGCTGTTTTGGAAAAAGAAGCAGCAGCCCACACTGCTGAAGAAGAATTCAGGACAAGAAGAGAAGATTGAGATGGAGTCTTGAACTTTTCAGAAGACTGGAAATAAAAAAAGAAAGAATTGAAAAGACCTCTGAGTAGAAATGCTACTCAAGGGTGTTGAGTGCATCTGTCACAAAGGGCTTTTATGCTTCGACTATGAATAAAGAATTTGCATGTATAAGAAGATATTTTGTATGGTCTCCAAATTCCCGTTTCTTTATTTTCATGTAACTCCTGAAGGATTAAGTTGTAAACTAGAATATTAACTGGGAGAAAACTACAGAACAATGTTTGTCTAACGTTAGGGTCAATTAAGGCTCCTGCACCAAAATACCACTGCTCCACCTCCACAAATGGACATCAGACATAGGGCAGCCACCTAAGGAAAGTCTGATCACACATGTCACCAGTAGTTTAACTTAGCCAAGGTGGGTGTCATGGTTTAACCCCAGTCAGCAACTATGAACCACGCAGCTGCTTGCTCATTCCTCCACACCACCTCCTGGTGGAATGGGGTGGAGAATTGAGGAAAAACTTAAACTCATAGGTTGAGAATAGATTAATAACTAAAAATATAGTAATAATAATAATAATAATGAAAAAAAGAGAATGAAAAAAAACAACAACTGAAAACCCCAGGAAAAGACAAGTGATGAACAATGCCATTGCTCACCACCTGCTGACCGATGCCTGAGCAGTAATCTGCCCCTCCTAGCCAACTGCCCCCAGTTCATATACTGAGCACGACATTCTGTGGTATGGAATATCCCTTTGGCTAGTTTGGGTCAGGCGTCCTGGCCATGCTCCCTCCCAGCTTCTTGTGTACCTGCTTGCTGGCAGAGAAGGGGAAACTGAAAAATCCTTGATCTAGGATAGCACTACTTAGCAACAACTAAATAATTGGTGTGTTATCAACATTATTCTCACACTAAATCCAAAACACAGCACTGTACCAGCTACTAAGAAAACTAACTCTGTCACAGCCAAAACCAGGACAGTGGGTTATTGCCAGAGGACTCTGTTTCTCTGTCTTTCCTCCCACCACATTTACATGCTTTACTTCCCATATACGCTTTTTTATCACTTTTCTGATATGCCCCTTTGTTTGTTTGTTTGTTTTGTGGGGCTAGTTACTAGTTGAATGAGCTCACAAATTGCTATTCACAGAATTATTAAAGCAAATTAAATGGTAATGCACATGGGGGTGAAAGAACAAATTTAGCCTTAAGCCAACTTGGCTTAAGCCAACTGTGAAAAAATAACCTGAGAAGTCAGAGTGCCTAGAATCCATTCTATCTCAAAGGAGCTCAGAAGCAGTCCTAAGAGAGGTTGGGTTTTTTTTAAACTGATGCTGAAATATTTTCATTTTGAGTTGATTCCAAACAGGAATTTTTCCAGTTTCCCAAATAATGGGGAAGGCAGTATTTTGGAATGAATAAAACACTCTGAAGCACTTTTAAATGTTCTAACTTTGTAAACAGTTTGCAAACAGTTAATAAAATGTAGAGGTTCTGTATTGAAACAGGAAAAATAATTTTTCTTCTTTTTGTCTTCTCTCTCCAGAAGTGTTAGTCAAATTAAAGAATTACTGTTTTCTAGAACCAGCATTTGTCTAAAATAAACTATTTGGTCAGTAAGATCATCTAGCTTGGTTGGAAAGCACACAGACTATGCAGCAGACTGCTGAAGAGTATGACAGGGAGGTCAGAAAGTCAGAGACTGACAGAGAAAACGGGAAACAAGGGTCCATAACACTTGGATTTAAAAACCAACTGGAGTGGCTTCATCTTAAAACTACATCCGTATGTGCAGACTACAGAGAAACAGTGCTCTCCGACTAAAATACCAAATTAGCAAGCAGACAGTCACACTCTGTGGTAATATCAGTGTCCAGATGGTCCTACATGTATATAGCTACTGAAAATACCTACTGAACAGTAAGGCAAGTCGTATTCTGCACATCATTATATAATCATATTCACTTCCATATGACATGCCATCGATCACCACACAACTTTTGAAAGGAATAAGGATGTTTACAATGTCACCACTGCACTGTTTCACAATACAATCCTGTAAAGTAATCAGTTAAGACTGCAGTCAAAACGAACACTAAGAGGAAAGAGAAAATAGGAAGCAAAAAAAAAAAAAAAGAAGTCCCAAGGATGTACAAGGAAAAGCATGCCAACTTATTTCTTTAGAAAATATATTATTTTCTCTTCCTCACCAGCAGGAATTAGTCTCTTTCTACAGCATCAACAAGCCTTACAGACTTTCAAGATTGATAGGTAAACTGAGGGAAGAATAGGAAGAGTAACAGGCAAGAAGGCTTCAGTCATGTAAACATAAGCAGCAGGAACTCGATTCAGCAAAACATTCTCAAACTATTAAGATAAAACTGCCATGATATGCTGAGAATTTTCTTTTGTTCCTAAGAGCAAACAAACAAATAACCCAAACAAACAGCAAAAAAAGAGAGTAACTCATCATTAAGTATCTACAGTTAGCCAAGTCAGGGATGATTTAAAACATGTTTGCTCTGTCATTTCAACAAGTGCCTTGCTACATATTAAAATTATTTGATCCACTGTTTCAGAAATGTCTCACATCAGAGACCAGTGTAAACAACAGGTTGGCTAAAAGCTTTCTTCATACAGCGATTAATTAGACTAGCAGCTCTGAAGCGTACCACAGCATAGCTGCATGCAATGACAAGAAAGCCAATGGGGTGGCATTTTTCTTCTACTTCTACAAGAAGAAAAATCTCCTTGATTCTTCTTTAAATTCAGTCAACACTTGTCTTGATTAGGGAAAAAGAAAACATCCTCTGCAATATGAATCGTTTCCTGAAGATACGTTTGTCTGCTGATAATAGAGTGCAGATATTTACCTGAAGATAAAGAGGTAGGCTTTCCTGAATGGCAGACAGCAAAGCCACAGGCAGCTCTTTGTCCTGCTGGAGCACAGAGTGTGGCAGCAGTAAGCAATCCACAATGCGGAACAAGAGTTGCTGTGATTTGGAAGTAGCCAGTATTGGTGCCCAGAACTTTACTAGACATCCTGTTGAAAAAAAAGAAAAAAAAAAATCAAATCAAGAAATCCCAAAGGAATTTACAGTCAGGAAAAAAAAGAGAAAGCAAGCCTAAAGAGGTAATTACGTTAAATTGGATAATCCAAGAGTATCAACAGCAATTGAAATGTCTCACTCCCATATACTTATTCCATGGTATCCCCTTAGAAAAAGCCCAGTGAAGATGACTCAAAGACTATTTACAGTTCAGCAAAATAAAAGTACTAAACTGATTCAATACATTACAAGTTCTTAGGCAAGTGAGGCTGCTTTAGGAAAAGTACAGTAATGCTAAAGAAAGGAGTCTCTCACATCCCTGCAGAAAAATTAACTAAACTTGATATATAACACTACTGCAATCAGGACACACACATTTACCTTACTGTGTGCATTCATCACATTTTACAGAGAGACACTGCCTTTGCCTTCCCTTCTCGTTTATCTAACTCCATCATTACCACATCAGCAACTACTCACACAGCAATTCAGTCTTAGGAAAACATTAAATATCTTTCCAATTGTATTTAAGAAATCTAATTCAGCAGATTAAAAGAACGAGGGGCAACCAACTCTATTAAACCATCATTGTCTCTCCAGTTCTTTGTGGGCTCTCAGTTCGCAGAACAAGAGCTTCAGAGAACATCTTTCTTGTTTTCAAACACATTAATGTATCAGTTGTGCAGCTTTGAGACAGTTTTAAGATCTATCTTTTGAGTTGGAAAAAAAAAAAAAAAAAAAAAAAAAATGTAAATACCCCTAACTTTGAGAAACATCTTTATTGCAGGTGAGGTGCAACTTTTCTTGAGAAAAATACTCTGTACTTGTGAGTGTTAATACTCAAAATGCAGATCAAATAAAATCAAGATTTCTATGTAGCAGTTTTCACAGACATTCTTAACTTTATATTTAATGGAAAGCAAGAAAAAGTTTGCTGGGTTGAAAATACAGGAATTTCCCAAGAAAATAGGTTTAAAACATTGAAAATAATGAAAGATCAAAAGCAGGCTGTTACAAGATATTATTAATCTATAGAAGTCATTCATTACCATCTCTAAAAATTCCACAAAACAACATTAATCTTGTGGAGTGAAAGAAAACACAGTGATCAATCATAGAGAAAGAGAACAAGCACTTAACAATACTTCTAATAATGTTGTCTAAGCTTCCTGCTTTGAAAGAAACATGCTCACTCTAGCTAGAAGTACTCCTTCTATTATCGCTGCTGTGATGTATGGGACAGTAGAAGACGCAATCTGACCACAGACAGGAGGTGTTTAGATTCGTTAAATTTCATGCTTTATTCTTATAACAAGTCCACAGAATGTGAAGAAGTGACTGAAATACACTTAATTTTTCTTTTAAAGATTATTTATGGTCCCTTGACTAACAAGAAAGAACAATTTCTTGCACACAACATGACTGAAGCTTAATCATTTCCTACTGTAAAGAACAGAAAGGAAAATACCAGCCTAAAATTACTTTACATGGCTCCAGCCCAACGAGTGGGTATCTAAAAACATTTGACATACATCTTGTATAACAAAATATGCAGATCTTGCAATAGAAAAGTATTTTATAAAATGCATATTCCATTACATTTGATGCACCTTCTGCATCGTGGTCATGCTTTTCACTGTAGTCCTTATCTCCATGATGTACACTGTGTGTACATGCAAATCATTAACTCAGACTTTAAGATACATAAGTTTTACCTTATTTTTAAAAGCGAGTCAGACTGGCACATTCATTCATAATAAACAGCATGTATATTTTTCCATCTTATCAGTGGTTCCACATTTTAATGAACAAATACTAGAATTTGACCCTTAAAAAAGTTCTAAAAGGAAGCAAACTATGTTCCTAAGCCAACCTGTTCACTGTCCTAACTCCAGTAAATACGATGTAGCATGTCATACTGCTTCTCTGGCTTGTCACTGTTTCTGGTTTTGTTTAGATAAAACAGGTGGGTTTCAGTGGTAAAAGACATGAAAAATATCTTAGTTCTGAAAATACTGATTTGCAGGGTAATTAAAAAAACATAAGGTTAGGCATTAGGATAAAAACCAAAGAAAAACAGTGCAAGAAAATTAAATAACTAACTAACATCTTGGTGACTTTGCTTTTGTAAATCATTAAGATAGCCAGTATAAATTAAAAACAAGTATTAAAAGTCACATTTTACTGATTCCTTAAAACTACTTTCTAAAAGAAAAGAGGTTGCAAAATAATTACCTATGATCCAATATGTAAGCTGCAGACCTTCTGGAGGTCCTTTTACCTTCAGATAAGGTTTTACATACTTTAATACGTCACCTAAATACTCCAGCGTCTTTGCTACCATGGCAGATTTCTCAGGAAGGGTCTGAAGGCCACTGTAAGTTCTACCAACAGCCTGAGAAAACGGAAACATTGAAATAAATGTAAATTAATAAGTTTCTCACCAGGTTTCTGCAAGTCACTTATTCTCATATACAAAACAAAATCTGATACATAATTCCTTTTCCCTAAAATTGTTGGATGAAGCTAACAGATGTACAGTACCTTAATGAATTGAACCAGAGCATTTTTAGGGTCTTGCTTGAAAAATGACTCTTCAACATGAGCCTTTGAAAGAATGTTTTCTACTTCTGAGAGTTTAAAAATCAGTCTTGTCATTTCAGTCAGCTGCTCCATATAGGCTTTCCCTGTTTGTTACAAGAGAACACAGCAGTAAATATAGCATACAGTTATGCTTTTCAATTTATTTTAGTACCAAAATCATAAAATGAAACGTGATGTTAAAATGTTAAATATACAAAGATTCTGCAACTGACTGCATCTCTCTAGACAAAGAATGTGTCTAAACGAGTTACGCTTCTAATATACATACATGAGAATGAAGAGTATTAAGTATATATAAAACCAAGTCTTTCATTTTACTGATGGTTTTCTTCAGAACCTACAAAATGTGTATGAAATAGTTGCTAGAAGATGTGTTCTACAAATAATTAGAACGGCAGTGCTTTATAGAAGAAGTCATTAAGTATTGTTCTAAGAAAGCAAAATATCCAATAAAGGGAAAAATTACTCTGCAACTGGATTTTTTTTTTTTTTTTTTTTTTTTTTTTTTTTTTTTTTGGGCATTCACAGCATGATTTCCTACTATTTACTTCAGATTTTCACTTTCTTCAGAGCAGTTTCTCCATGGGGGAAAAATAGCTTGTCTCCTTGGGAGCAAGTTTTTGTTCTTTGCTTCCAAGGAAACAAGCTCTTTTATCTTTGTTTGTGATAAATTTGTCATATGCAGAGCAGGCAAACTATCAATAAATAGCACAAGCAGCGTAAAGAAACACATTTTGTAATTAGGTAAAAGTAAAGGAATACAAACAAAAATACATTTTGTAATTAGCTGAAAATGTTTGCCAGTTTTGCAATATAGAATCGTTACTGCAAACATTAGGGAAATGTGAACACTTACCAACTGTTCGCTCAGCATCTGTCTTGGCCAGCATACCACTTGGTTGATCTATGAACATTTGCAAAATGCATCGAAACCAAGAACGTACTGTCAAAGCTTCATAGGATGTATATCCCATACTAGAAAAAGCTTCACACAGTGCACTGCATAGGAAGAAAAAGGTAACGAGATCTAATAAAAGTATGCAAAAAGGTAGTAGCATGTCTCATTTGGCTGTACACCTCTCGAAAGAGTGCACAGAAACAATTAGAAATAAAGTAACACAAAGGCCAACTGGCATTCCTTTTGTGTACTCTACAGACTTTACTCACAATATTGTCATGCCTTAACACAGAGAACATCATAAATCTGGCAATGCCACACATGGTAATATAAAAGCATATATACATAGATTTTTGCTACATAAAACAAAACAGAGGGGGAAAAATTCACACAATGGGAGATGCCTTGTTCTAACAATGGATAATTTGATAGTATTATCTAAATTGACAGTGAACAATGCTTGAAATAGTTTATCTGAATCAAGCTGGAACTTCATATCACCAGCCTTTCATGTAAAGTTAGCTCAGGTGTCCAACACTACTCTGAAGTCTGCTTAGTTCTAACTACACAAAAGATGCAGAAGGTCTGCTTTAGCAATTAATGATACATTATGTTAGAAACAGATAAAAAAGAGAAACATAAAAAGGCACCCTGGAGATAAGAAAGGAAACCGCTGTACTTGGTGTACACTTACAGATGTATGCATTTATGTACGTATACACACACGAGTATACACATTCCCACATATATACAGCAAGTTTGTTGCATATACTTTCAATCAAACAGTCTCTACTGTTCTACCTGCCAGCGTCAGGCCAGAGTCAATGGCACCATCAGTACTCAAAGCACAATCCCTGTACTCTACTGTTCAGTATTCCCAAAGTTTTTCTTGCCTTACCACTGTGAGTAGCTGCCGTAGCCTCTTTCTCCCAAGCATATCTGCCCCACATCATTAATTCTGCAGAAACTCCTTGCTAACAGACAGCAGGTCTGTTCTGCACCCTGTTTCCAATTCCTATCAGATGAGCTCTGTCTGTGCTTTAGGTCAGTGAAATTTCTTGAAAATAGTTACACCTTTTTATTTGAGAGATTTCCTCCCTGGTCAGTCCTAGGTGCTTCGACTTTAATGGAAAATGCTTGCACTCTTTTCTTGATATATGTACATATAAATCTACTTATTTTCTACTGAATTTTTACTCATGCTTGCAACAGAAAGTCAACACAGGTCCACATGGAAACCCAACTAGATTCTGTTTCTCACTGAACAACATTAATAAGGGTTTTTTCTGTTTCGGTTCGTTAAAACCAATGACAGCTGTATATTTTGTCTGAACATCCCTGCTGAAGTACTATTGACAAAATAAATGAGACTAAATGCAAACAAATAAAATATAAAAAAAGAACATTAAATTCCAGTACCAAAAGAGAAAAAAAACCCAGGATGCCTATGGACTTAATGCTCTTTGCAATAACATATAAACAGTTCCAGCCTTATGTAATTTTGATGTACACAGCCAGTCTACTTTGCCCCAAAGGCTCACAAAACCACTTTCTGCTGTAGTCTCACTCTTGTTTCCTTTGCTTGCTGGTAGGTAGGCTACTTAGGCATCTTTCTAAAATTGGAGAGGAATATGCTCCTAAACCTTAAAAAAGGAAAGAACTGTAACTACCATTTAGAAGCATGGCAAGTGATCCTTTTAAACCAGAGAACTTATACACATGCTCAAAGTTAGCTTGAACAGGTTATAATACTATCGCACACTACACAACACAGATCTGTAGAAGAACTTTTAGACACTATTGCAAAAGAAATGCCAAAGCTTGTGTACATGTTCCCAAGGGCACAGCTTGTCCATCAGAACCTTTATTATCAATACTGAAATAGCTGATATGCATAACAAGCTTCAATCTTAAAGAGACCAGGCAGAGCTTGCAGGGTATATAACAGTATCAGCAACAAAATAATCTTTTTACTTTTTAACTGAGAATATTTGATATGAAAATTATCAGAGCGCAATAACCATGAAGGCTTAAGATCCCAGCACTTGGATACTTTGATATGTTTTGCTCTACAACTGCCTAAGGTAAATAAGTATGGGAATTATGCTACAAAAAATTGCCATCTCATTAGCCTATAATAAAATGACAGTATTTATAGTACAATACCTCTGTATAATTCTGCCAAAAAAAGTCTTATCTTTGGTACTCACTGTCCTTTCACAAGGAAATCTGTGTACCTTACAGCTCTGTTGATGAGGCAGGGACATACCTTCGCCTAGTCTCAGATACTTCAGTTTTTACCTTGTTGGCCTTGAGGCCAACTGATAGGGGAAACAGACAATTCTCCTTGAGGCTGGACAATTGCAACCCCAACAGCTTGGGCAAAAATATTTGCCTCTGTGTGAGTGCTTTCTGTCCCATACTTGCGTCAAGGTGAAGATTCAGAAAAGCACAGAGTGAGAGAGTGAGAACATATGAGAGGGGACCAGAGAGAGTGAGAATATACACACACGTAAGCAAAAGACAAATATCTATCATCACTCAGTTACGGAGTCATGCTTTCTCCTACTAGTTTCTCTCAATATGGATCCATGAACCTGACATCTGCAGTTAGTTCATGGCACAGCCTGCCAGAGGAGGGCAAGGTCCTCTCATTCCTTTTTAAAGTGGCATTTGAAAATAAAAGTTTGAATTCCCTCAGAGTACAAGACGTGCCTAACTTCGATTTTCCAAATTCTTGCACAAGTGCTCTAGCCTCTCAGCTAATGTACACCAGGTAACTGTCATCAATACTAACTGCATTTTTAGATGAAATTATGGCAGAAGGGCTGTATGGGGAACTCAGTACTAGCCACATGTGCATGCTCTGCACTTGCTAATGCAATCAGTCTTCCAAACACTGGGGAACAGGAACGCTTTGGCCATGGTTCCAAATACAGTAAATGTTACCTCAGCCAGCACATCAATATATCTGTGGATACATATATAACAACACGGCAGGTGCTTAATGAATATTGCTAATGAATACTTAACTGCTTTCAATCACTCACTTAAGTGTTTACTGGGGGAACCAGTAATTAGCCTTAAGCACCTAAATTATACCAAAATTCCAGTTTAGCCATCAAACTGTTTTCTTGATCTCACCTGAAGAGCAACAAAATTCAAATGATAAATGCGTATTTATGTGCTTAACTCCTATTTCATTCAGCACATGCTAGGTATCTGCAAGTTTGCATGAAACTCACCATACAAAGATCACACAAGAGAAATACAGTAAATTAGAGGACTGAACACTCCTCTCCTGAGTTCCAAACTGACATGAGGAACTAAATTAAACCTCTTAACTTCTCCCTGCAAGAAGGCCATAGCCTCATCTTTGCTGATCACACTGAAATAGTCTTTACCATATCCTGTTTTACAGCTATGCTCCTTAGTACACCATGTACCCTAAAAATGCGCAACATTTTTCACTTTCAAATACAGTCTGACATAGAAACACTCCCTTTTTCTTTCTCATCTCTCACCTCCCCTGCTTCCAAAGCCTGATTCAGAAGCGGGGCGAGGGGGAAAAAAAACCACACCACCACAACAACTACCACCACCACCCACCTCTCTAAGGTTCATAGAGGCCTAATTAAAGCAAATAAAATTTCTCAGGTATATAAAATTCTCAGTGGATAGTCCTAGGCAATCTGCTCTACCAAACCCTGCTTGAGCAGAAGCATTGGACAAGTTAGGACTACCTGACCTTAAGAGTCCTTACCAACCTAAAAAAATCCAGTGATTCTGTGAAAATTCAACATTGGCATGTAAAACATAGGAATGTGATTTTCTAAACATATTATTTAATGATTTAAAGCATCCATTTAGCAGGTCTCAGAAACCTGAGCTACATGAACATTAATATACACTCAGAAAGTGTTCCAAGCTTGTCAAAAAAAATTTTAATGCATGCATTTCCTTACAAGCCTTTTCCTTATACTGACCAATCCATCCTCCTCAGCTTCCTGTACAAGTTCTTTGTTTTGAAGAAGTCAAGCTATTCAAACATTGAATATTTACTATATAGCTATCTTGAGATTTCTGTAAAAAAGTTTATCTTGACTTTTTATAACATGTAAGTTTTTGTGTTAAGTGTAACAGGTAGGGAAAAAGATGACCAGTACTTTTAACTAGAAATTTTAAAATTTACCAAGTTACATTATTCAAGTGCATCCAGGGCAGGAGGCTACTGCCTTGCCAAACTGTAACAACTTTGCCCGATTGTAACAACCATAGAAGGGGGTGGAATATCTATAACTAAGCAGATTAAAAATAGGTTATGGGTTCAGGCATTTCACTCTGATGCAGTATCACTCTTCACAGAAATACCTCTCTGAAGATATTATCCAGGTCCCCATTGTCCAGAATCTGTTAGCAACAACACTGAGAAGAAGTGGTTTGCTATATATATTAAAAAAAAATAAATTTCAAAATACTTACCTATCTTTCTGACAAATTTTGAGTATTTGAGCTATTTACACATTAAAACAAACAAGCCAACCCAGATTACACCCACTGTCCCCTGGGAAATGTCCCAGATGATTTCAAGAAACCTAGAACTTTAGCAGATGCAAAGAACCTGGACCATCTTCATGAAACATTAGTGCTTGAAGCAACATTTTCCACAAGTCTAATGAAGGAATGGCAAGGTACTGGAAGAACAAGTAGACACAGTTTTTCACCTGTTTTGAATTAGGTGACTTAGATATCTTGACACCAGCTGAGGCCACACCATGTCATCCCATCCAAACAGCTGCATCATTGATAGAACAGGCTGTGGCTGGAGTTCTGATAGGGCTTTGCTGGGCATATCCAAAGCTAAGAGAGTAAAACCTGATTTTAAGAAGAGAAAAACACATGGCACTGTGTTAATGGTTTCTCAGTATATCCCTGTTCCACTAAAAAGCACTGAAAATTAATTACGATTAATAACACGCAGTCTGGGAGTACCAGAAATCTCAGTTAAAACTGGGCAACTACTCCAACAGATAGCATTTGTACACATGTTAAAATGAAGTCTCTGTCCCAAGGAGTCTGTAAATCAACACAACACACTGAATGCAAATAAGAGAAAATGGATCAAACATTTGCAATTTTAAATATATTCACACAAACACAGATTACAAATCCTGAAGGCATAGTTTTACCACATATACAATAAAAAACATGTCTTAAAATCTTGCGCTTTTTTGTCTTCTTGGCCTCCCTTTCTTGCCTCCCATCCACCACTTCTTCCCTTGCACACATAATGATCACTGGGCTTTATAGGGTTGAGTTTTATTCATTTGTTACTTTTACACACTTCTCACAGTGAGGAACTGAATCTGGAAGGAATTCACTCAGTAAAAGTTGGAACCTTTCTATTTGTAGAATAGACTTTCATGTATCAGAAGTTACTGTGTAAATAAAGCACTATGGACAAGCTTATTCTTGAAAAATGGATCTTCATATAACAGTAGCAGATCTAGAAACTGGGACAGTACTTTGTGAAGAGTTTTTGTTAATGAAGCACAACCTTTTGCTGTTTCTATTAGGTCTACTGTGGAATCTATATCTAATACTACCAGAATAAAAAGAATATAGCACATTCTTTATGCTGCAAATAACAAATGCATTTAAACTCCAGAAGAAAATGTAATCTGAGATGCTGAGTACTTATTAGGTTATAGGAAATGAGAGGCATCAAATGAGACAGGAAAACTGACTTTGGAGGGCAATCAAATAAAGGGGCTCACTAGCTCCCAAACTCTTCAATTCAAGCCAAATATAAATGTAATATTAATTTATTAAAATAATGATTTATAGAACTGCATGCATTGAGAAGGTGACTTTGAATTAGACAGAAGAGGCTAGTTTTCAGAAACAACAATGAAGCTATTTTAATTAATGGTGTAGGGACAGACTGCCTTAAGCTATGAAGGACTTCACATTTCCTTATATGCCTTGGAAGAAAAAAAGGAGGTTATACAGAGTCACCACTCTGCCTTTGCTGAGGATGCAATTTGTGCCAGACTTCTTCCAGATTATCACATCATTTCTACAGCATCAGCCATAACATGGGTGGAGGAGAAATGGGAGACAGAAACAACAATGTGAGTGCCAGGCTATTGCCAGGGGGAGCAGTAGAGCTGAGACTGCTGATCTATCCTCCGGGCAGCAACCTCTAAAGAAAGAAGCTCATACAGCATGGGATGGGTTTGTCTTCCTGTGTAGTACTCCCTACCACATCTCTATAAAGCAGGTCACAACTGCACTCCCCTGATTCTAAGTGGAGTTTATAATAGGTTGTTCGTCTTGCTATTTCACTGTATTAATGTAAAATAAAAAGATGTGACACGGCAGGAAACGAATGAAAGTTCTGACATGAGCAACCTCTTCCTTTGATTTGTATTTCTGTTTCCCACACATGCTTCAGCAGTGTGAGACCACTACGTTGCACACTGCCTCCTTCATTAATGTTACCTACTAACTGCAGAGCTGCTTCCCATGAAGGGTCTTTTAACTTTTCTATTACTAACTCGGTACTTCTGAGCTCGTAACTTTACCTAATTCATATCATAATGGAAAAAAAAAAATCTACATTTCACACCTCTCTAAATTTTAAGTAAATGGATACAAGATTTCACTGTAACAGCAAAATACAATGCTAGCTACTGATGTTAAAGATCAAACTGAGATTTCTTTCTATTCACTGCCCATGCTGACTGGTTGCACATGGAGTTCACATACATATGGAACATTGTACTTCAAGATTAAAAACGTTCAATGTAAAGCAAAATTAAATAATTAAAATGAATTATGAAATAGTTTTATGTCCAGAAGGGTTCAGCAAAAAACAAGTAATGAAATCAACCTTTTAAAAAATTGTCTTCAAACATAAAACATTACTTAAAAAAATTTAGTTTGAATCACAACCATAATGAATAGTTAAACACAAAATTGCAATAAGCTTTTATAAAAAGATGTAATTTCTAGATACAGTGAAAGGAGTTACTCTTTGCAAATGTTATACAATATAAATATGTTGATTATAATCTGACTAGTAGGGGGAAAAAAAAAGTCAGGCTTGTATAGCTTCAAACCCCTTGGAGTTCTCAATCTGTTTGTATTCTATCAAGTAATTCAATACTACAATATTTCTTCTTGATATTTAGCATAAAATCTAGTTTTCTGCATTTATGCATATTTCAGTCACTACATGGAAGTAGAAATATCACAAAATGCAAAATCCGTGAAAGTTTGTGACCCAGAAAATAGCACCAAATCCAGTAAGTCACAGGGTGGGTCAATGCTAACCTGCCGCTGTATCTGCAAGCTGTGGGGAAGGTGGCATCTGTGACATTCTCTGGCTCTTCAAGTAGGGAAAGAAATTTCTCCAGAGAGCACTGGCGACAGCAAGGTGGTGCTCTTTAGCCACTAATGGAAGCTGAGCATCTGGGGCTGTGTTCCCCAGTTGAAGTCCCTGGCTTACACGTTTGTGCACACTCCTAGGGAGAAACAAAAACAATGTTTATGTTGAATAAATGAAAAAAAAAAAAAAAATCACATCTTTTAAAAACGTATTTACAACTACTTTAAACCACAGAGCTTGAGAACTGAAGGATCATTTTGTGCAATTAAAACCTTTATGCAAAGACATTATGCATACCAGTTATTTGATGGATGAATGATGGCATATTAAGCACCATAAAGTTAATGTTAATTACTAATGTCAACCATTAATTATATGCTTTTTAATATGTCAGATCAAAATGAGAAATAGGCAGTTTTAAAATGAATATCTGCATTTTGCAACTGCTAGCATGACAAGCAAGTCTGCTTACAATTCAAAGCCAGATGCTTTAAAATTTTTGTCAGTAGGGTTTTTAGGATAGGGTTGTGTACAGCAAATAATGGCAAATGATTTTGATCAATCGTAAAGCTTCCTTCTGAAATCTATTTCTCATCTGTAAAATCTCACTAGGTGCGAGTTTAGATAAGAGAAAAGATTCATTTTATCCTGATGCGCTGCAGACAATTAGGTTTGACAGCAATGCCCACAGCTTTGTTAGTACAGTAAGGACAAAAGTTACCACTACACATAACTCCCATCTCTTCCTGAGACAATGTGGCATGAATTCAATAACACACTCAATTTTCTTTGATTCTTCTAGTACTATTCCTGCTACTTAATCTAATTTGGAAGTTGTGACTTTCTAGAGGTTTAATAGAGATATGTCTGCAGGGAATCAATGTTCTCAGAGAAATGGGGGGCGGGGGGGGGAGCATTAATAAATTTGTCGGTAGAACAGGATAGGAGGCATTACTGAACCAGGCTGATCAACTAAATAACATGCTTATTAAAAACAATCTGTAGGAACGCACCATCATTCCTGTTCCTATTTATCTTCTGGTCAACTCAATTGAGATTGTGCATTAAAGCACAGGCAGCATTATTACATTTGCTTTATTAAATTCTATAAACAGCACTGTAAAGTCAGAGTCAAGATATTTATAAGATAATGGCAAACAGCAGAGGCATCAAGACTTGCCTTAACACTAGCATCTGTAAACTGTAATATTTTTTTCCTTAATTGCCATTCTCACAATAGTAACTGCTTCACAAAACTCTTCCCCTAGATCTTTATTCTGTGCTCACCCTAATTTGAAATAAACCAAAACAAAAATAGAAAAAACTCCAGCCCCTAGTTCTCTTCTGGGAATGTGGGAAAATTATGAAAGAATTACACAACTCACAGCACTCATTAGGACATCTGAAATGGAATAATTTTAAATAAAGAGTAGGCTGGCTGCAAGGCCTTCCCATACTAGGGCTGATATTAGAAGCGCATCTCATTATATCAAATTAGTATCCAAAAATTCTGCCTAACACATAATTTAAAACATAAAACATACTGGCTGTCAAAGGTAACGATACCTTATGCCTGCCTGCAGGCATCCATTAGTTTCAATAGGACAGACAGAGAGAGAATTGAGTACCAGCTACTTTTTGAATAGCTACATTTAACAGACATGGAAAGGTATGTAATATTAAGAGGAATCAAGTATTTCTTTGAGAGACAGTGTGAGTCCAAACACGGAAACAGAAGACAGCAATTCTAAACCCAACTTTTATTCCCTCTGTGGCTTCACATAAATCATAGCATCTTTGTTAGCCTCAGTTTCCCAGCCATGATATTTGGATAGTAAACCAGCTTACCCTTTAAGGATGCTGTGAAAACAATCAATGCTTAGAAACTGAGGATTATATTCAGTACATCAGTTGGTGTTCCTGTTTACAAGGCATATTCTCCAAGTCAACATGAATTGAAATAGAAGCAAGATTAGCATAAAAAGTCGAGCAATACTTCTTGGGAGTATTCCTTATTAAAAAAAACCAAACCAAAACAAAACAAAACAGACAAAGAAGAGGGTGTAGAAGTAGTGAGGTCTAGAGGACAAACGATGAAAAAGTAAAAGCAGGGCTAAAGAAACAAGTTAAAAATATATTTTTGCCTATTACAGAAATAAGAAAAGGAAAGTTTAACAGTAAAAACAAAGGGCTTTTCTGTTTTTTTTGTTAAGAAAGGAAAACATGATACCTCATAGTGCAGAGAATAAAACTTCTGGGACCAAATTCTGTCCTACTTACAAACAGACTACACTGTAAAATTGCACAAAGTCCTTTCTCTCTCTCTCCTCTAAATTGCTTCTCCAAAGAGGGGTGCCTTGCATCTCCTTTAGCCATCTATGCAAAATAGAAGGGTGTACAGACTTCCAAAGTAAGGTAATATATCTCTGTGTCAGTGGAAGGGCAACACATACAAATCAGTATTTATGTTTATTCATAGTAACCTACACAAATGCTTGCAATAAGGTAAATGCTTAGAATCGATGGGGCATCAATATATGCTGCAGCTGATGCAGCCAGCTATTTCTACCAACAAACAAATTTTTTAATTCCATAAAAATATGGATAAACACTATTTTACTTTTTACTCAGGCTTCCACATTTTTCTAACACTATACAAGCATACCAAACATGATTCTATTTCTAAAACTATATATATATTTAGTTTTGCATTGCGTTAAGAGCTCTGGAACCACTGTTTGCCTCACTACAATGATAATAACTCAGTGTGGTTTTTACTTGTTTTAAATCATGAATTTCCTATTTCTGCAAAAAGAGGTGTGTTTTTTATTTTGCCATCAGATCAAATAAACCCTGGGTTTATAAAAGGGAATGTTTGTGCTACCTGAATAAGGACTGTGCTGGATGTATATGTACAGCAGTAGGATGTGGGATTATTTTCTGCATCCTACAGCTGAGTAAGGAATTACAGCCATTTATCTGGATGTGGGTATTGTAATCTTTCACAACCATAAACCATGCCTTTGCAAGCCTAAATTACTAAAATAGGAGTGAAACATTAGGTCAAGCTGGAAAAGTAAACCGTATAAGATGGAGAAGACCGCCTATATAATGAAAACTCAGGTCACTACTTGTCCATAATCTGCACTGGCTGCATATTGGCATCCAAACTTAATACAATGTCATTTAATTTGATCTATAAGGGTTCAGAACTCACCAACACGAAAGGAGACCTCTCTCCTCCTACCAGAATTGGCAAGAATGCATACTACCACCCTCAGGAGCCCTCAGACTATAAATAGGCACTGGTTTCTCCACAGAGTACTCTCAGTTCCTCTGCTCCAAGACCATGCCAGGCCAGCCACAGCATCCAGAGAACTCAGATGCCCACCCCAGTAGAGCCAAGATTAAGCTCAGGAAAGTATTTTTAAAGGACCTGAATGACCTTTCAATGTTGAACAAAATAATTAACAAACAACACCTGCAGGACCAACACCCTTGGGTAAATCTAGGGAGATCGGGTAGAGATATATGAGTATTTCTAAAGTGATAAATGGCTTTGATGCTTAGCATTTCAACTACTAAGATCAGTTCTTCCAAGGAAAAAATCAGGCAAAGTGAAATGAAACAAAGTATAATCACACTCAGATTCAAAGTCAGGTAATAGGGACTTTGTGATCTCTGCAGATCAATAGAACTTGAATAGTTTTTGAATTTTGAGATTTCCCTTCCAAACATTCTCCTGCTTTTTGTATCACTAAGATTATCAATACAGTTTCTCATTTTGATATTTTGGCAGCAAATCCATTGTGCCACGGTCTGATTTTAGTGCTGCCATAGAGGAGGTAACAGCAACAGAAGTGATTGAGGGAATTTGAGGCTTCTTCAGCTATGGGGTAGCTATGAAGATTTCAGCATAAAGAACTGAAGAGATATGGAGGTTAGCTGATGCAGAGAACAAAGTGACAGTTTTGATTTCAGTGAAGAAGTCGGAAGAGCTTTACATTCTCTCAAGAAACCCGAGACGCAGATGTGATGTCAGCTACTTGGAAATGTGCACAAAAATAAAATTATCGCCTTAAGGTCTCCCAAAAGTCAAAAGCCACATTAATAAAATGAATAGTGTATTTGTTTCTGCTGAAAAGATTAGCAACATGTTACACAATAAACACAGAATTAAAAAAAAAAAAAATCAAAATAGAAATGCCAGTGTTGATGCTGTTTCCCTTCCTCTCTTACTTGCCAATACAAAGAAATTATCCAGCACTATTGTATAGCAAAAGATCAGGCTTTCCTGTAGAAATCTATCCCGACATATTTTCTGTGGTTGTATAAATGTCACCGCAGTGATACACTCAAAATTTCCGCTACTGCTACAGGTGCAAAACTCCAAGATCTCTGCTAGACAGCAGTCCACTTAGCTTCAGTGACCAAACAATATTTACCAAGCCGCATTACAGAATTTAGTTCAAAATTACTCATCTAATCTCACTCTTCTCAAATGGCATAAAACATCAATACTTCTTTAACACATCTACTAATTTCTTCCTTTCGGGCCACCAGAAATGTTGCTTCTTAAGGTGGCCAGAACTGGAAGCGAGGTTTCAGCAGAGGTCACACGCATTTCTAGTAATTAGTCCTATTCAAGATTAAGCTGAAGATCAACCTTGTGTGCCCTCCATATACCTTTGAAAACAATCCACTATGGGTATTCAGCTAGTTCACTATTATGCCATTTAATTACATGACAGTTATAGAAAATTGCAAATTATTTCATTGATCCATATGGATACAAACTCCCATGTTGACAGACTCACTGTTCAACTTCTACTTAGCAATTTGTTCATAAGCATTTAGTTATTTTTATGTCTATGCTTCAAATATACAGTTTACTCCAAATACATGTACATTTCTGAAATCATAATCTGTTACACTACCATAAAATATAATACAAAGCATGAAGGGGAATACATTTTCAGAGTGAGTTAATTACTTTTATACAGAATTTTTCAAAACATTAAAAAAGCTAGTTTAAATATGGACAACAATACTGTCATTCACAAAGGCAAGGACAAAATGGTTGCATCTAGGTTCAAGTTTGCTTTCAATTAACACTGATCTGTGCCAAGGTACAAG